TGTGGCCCGTGTTGTGCTAATCTGTGAGCTGACAAAGGGTGGGCAAAGCTACTCTAGTGAGGTGTTAAGATACTACATCGTGTAGCGTCTCAAAACACGTTACCTTCTGTAATCCAGAAGAAGTGGGAAAAGAAAAAACATTAAAAAAGGTTATTAAGAAAACAAATCCCTCCTTTCTAGAAACTAAAGACCTGCAACTGACGTTTCTGTATTCTCCTTGATGAACAATACCTTTTTGCCAGCACCAACATTAGCTTTTGCAGTTCCCCTGACTTTCTTCATTCGGTTCTTGCGTTCCTTCCGCTGTTTTCTCGACGTCTTTTTCTTCTCATACAGGCCATGCTGAAGGAGAAAGGAGTACCTCATAAGTGACTGGCAACATCAACTCAGCATTAACTAATCTGGTAAGGACCATGACCAAGCCAGACAGCTCAAGAAATGCAGCTTCCCAAAATCAATACTTCTTCAAGCACATTTAAAAATAGTGCTAGTACCCGGTCATCAAATTAAGGGACACGTACATGTACAAATCAATGGCACAGGAACCAGATGTGCTCTCAACGCCCCACGTCACTCTGCCGTTCCTGCTGCCTGAAGACTGCTTCCAACCAACCTTCACATGGACCTCAGCTTCAACGTCACCTGCTCAGCAAGGCCTCCCAGACCACCCAATCAAGAGTGCAGCATCTATCTACCACATCATGTTTTCCCTCACCTGTGTTCTACTTATCTGATGGCAGAGAAGGAGAAAGAGAAACAGAAGTACTTGAAAGTAACCGTCTGCGTACTAGTTTACGACCTAGAATCTAAGGGAGCTTCTCTGGCTCACTGCTGTAGTTCACTGTAGTGCTTGGCACCCACAAAATGATCAAAAACCTTTCATGGTTCCTGGCTACCTGTGAGAACCAAATCCAAACTCAGACTTTAATATCAAGGATCTCAATTTGGTGCCAACCTTTCAAACTCATCCCCCTATTTCCAGCTCCTATCCTCACAATTATTACTTGCCCTTCTAAACACAGCTCCAATGCCATCTCTTCAAAAGCTGTAGACTCCATTACTGACACCCTGCACTCTTTCTTATCTGTACATCTGTCGAAGAACCTTCTCTCTTAACCCCATTAGTGTTTAGATCTGTAGCTTGTCCTTCCCCAGACTGCTTGCTCTTGCTCATTCCACTGCACCCACAGCACAATGCTGTTGAAATTCAGTCTTCAGTAACTGTTGAACAAATGAGAACACCTACTCGTGCAAGTCTATGTTTGGGTTCATTTTTCTTTGCATAATCCAAGGAATCATAAATCATGCCAAAGCCAGTTGTCTTGCCACCTCCAAAATGGGTTCTGAATCCAAATACAAAGATGACATCTGGTGTGGTCTTGTACATTTTGGCTAGTTTTTCCCGAATTTCTGTCTTAGGTACTGTTGCCTTTCCGGGGTGAAGAACATCGATGACCTTAAAAGAAGTAACAAATTTTAGCATTTATCATTACGAAATGCATTTTTTGAAGCGAAACAACCAAACTGTGATGGGTCCTTCCTTACCATCTGTTTCCGCTGAAGTAGTCGGTTGGTCATGAACTTCCTGGTCCGGATAGTTACTGTGTCATTCTGAAAATATTACACACTAGTTAAGGACACCACTCAACCTTTTCTTGATCCCGCTGTAATTTTCCAAGCTCTGGAACTGCCAAGGAGTAGCCACCAGCCATATGTGAATAATTTCTAAATGTCAAATGACATTTAAAATGCAATTCCGAATCCCGCAGCTGCAGGAGCCACATTTCAAATGTTCAAGAACCACAGGAACTAGTGGTGGGAATACTTCCATGAAAAGAAAAACAAATCCCAAGTGCCTACCTTCTAGGACACCTCTAACACACATAAACTCAATACCAAGAAAACCCACTCAACAGCTTTCTGGAAACTTACTTCTCTTTGCTACGGGAATCACTCTGGAGCAGTTTCTCTAACTCAACACCTCATTTTGGTCCTAATTCTGTGAGGTTTGTCCTATTTTAAGCTGTTTAGGAGCACCCATGGCCTCTAACCACTAGAGGCCAGTAGCACCCCCAACTCCCCAGTTGCGATAAGAAAAAATGTCTCCAGATTTTGCAGACTGTACCCTTACGTGTAAACAAACCCCAAAATCACCCTCACCCAAGAACCCATTCTCTGAACTAAAACTTCCACTTTAACAAAGGTTATAGTCTCAACTACGTTCCTAACATCCTGCACAAATCTGACACAAACACTGCACACTCTGCATGTCAACTACCCGTCTTGAATGGCCCACAAGAAATCCTACCCCCTTCTAAATGGCCCAACAGCTCTTACACAAGTGACCACCAAGGAAACGTGGGCATTCGGCATGTTTCCACTAAGAAAAAATTTTACAGAAAGAGGAGAGAAGGAAGAGGCAACAATTGGTTGCTACGTTTCAATTTCAGTTTGAAAAGCCACCCCAAAGTAAGTTCACTTCAATAGTACCCAACTCTTCAGAAGATTGGGGGAAGGGGGGGGTTGCAGAGGAGGTCGACTTAGAAATGGGTGCTGAACCTTTAAGACAGAGCTGACTAGTCATGACCTAATCCACACTCTTTGCAGGCTTCCATGTCCAGGGCCTCGGTTTCCCCAGTGTGCAAGAAGTTCCATCCGGCTGACAATATTTTAGCTTACACGTGGAATCGGCTTCACTCGCCACAACTCGCCCGGGCGCCGCCAGTACCCGCTTCACCTCTAGAGCTGCCATCACTTGCAAACCGCCTATCGCAAACTGAGACCCCCCCGGTGAAATGAGTCTCACCCCACCCAGCCCAATCCACTAGGCTCCACGAAGGCGACAAACGCAGGAGACGCTCGCGCAGTCCCCAGGCCCTGGACCCTGAAACCCGGCGTGTCCGGGTCCGGCAGCGCAGCCCGGACTCCCCACCGACGGCTCCGGGTCTCTAGGCAACCAGCCTCCGTCAGACACACCCAAAGAAAAGCGACGGGGCCTCAGGTGGCCATAGCGCAAAAGGCAGGACCCAGAGACGAAGGATGGCTCAGATACGCGACAGATGACTGCACGGGTCTAAGGAAACTCACCATGATGGCGGTCGAGCTTTAGGCAGCCAGGGAGGAAAAGAGAACCACTAACCGCGGGCCAATCATATCAATGCGCTCGGAAGGACCCCAGGAGGCGCCGGCGTGTGGGCGTGGCCCGAACCGTGAGGGCGGCCGCGCCAATGCCGGATTGAAAAAGGCTTAAGGTGAGCCAAGGATCTTCGGCCACACCCCCGGGATTTGGGACTGGCCAATCCAGAGGCGGAACAACTCGGGCCGACGGATTTACGCCAGCGTGGGATCCCTTTCAGCTCAATTTACTGTCTTGAACTGCGCTTCTTTAAAGTTCCGATAAGCCGAATTATAGTTTAAATTGTCTCATTGCGAGTTAGAGGTTCGTAAAGATGCAAGACATCTTAGGAGATACTGTCAACCAGCCTCCTCATTTTATAGCGAGGAAAACTGCAGAAATCCTGACTCAAAACCTTTGTTATGTCAAATATATAAAACTATTTTCGTTGATTGCTACGTATTGTTTTTCTGAGATTTTCCTGGTGATTTGGTAAATTAAAAACAAAAAACTCATTAATTAATTTGCTTTTTCTGAAAATCTTAGTCCTTATCAACAACAAAAAGTTGTTTGATCCATAAGTTCGTTTAGTTGTTTAAAGTAAAATGGTCATGCAAAAATAAAGAATATATGCACATGTTCAAAGAGACATTAGGAAAGAACTTTCCGAAGGTTAGAATGAACGAGAAAACCACAGTGCAGGCTTCGAGGACAACTTTCCTGTATTTTTTAGAATAATAATAGTTAATATTCACCGAGTGATTGTTATGTGCCTGTTACATTCTAATTACTTTCACCTTCATTTTGCCATTTGACCAACTAAGAAGTAGGGTACCTATTGCTGACCCCTTTTATAAAATGGGGAAACTAAGACATAATGAGGGTAAATAGCGTTCCCAAAGTTACACAACTTTTAGGTGGTAGTACCCACGGAGGCACTGTGGTTCCAGAACGTTTGCTCTTAACCTCTCTATGACAAAATCACTCATCAAATCTTGTTAGTATGGTCTTGTTAGTATAGTATTGTCCACAATAAGTAAAGTAAAATCTGATTTGCTTTGCTTTTCGTCTGTTGCATTTGTGTTTTGCTAGTAAGAATCCATGGAGTCTAACGTACCTTCTTACAATTCAAAGGTGTTAAACCACTTCATTGGATTCGGTTTAGAGTTCCCCACAAATAGTAAAGACATTTTTGGCTCTGTAGCACTGAATCCTATGGTAGTATGGTTTCCTTGGTAGTCTCATGTGCTTAGATATCACACTAGGATCACCTCCCACGGGTTGTCACAGACTGGGTAAGCAATTTATCTCCTGTATACATTAATGATTTTCACTTCGCAGTGTCCCCTCATCTTGTATCCCTAGCTCATCATGGCTAACTTTTCACAGATTTACAGCTTCTGTTTTTGTAATCAATAACATGTTTAATTCATTTCTTTTTCAAAGTAACTTTGTAAACTGAAGGTGCACGCATGGCCGTGTTTTCTGACCTGTTTATTTCTTTCCGTGGTCGTCCAGTTGGTACCTCTGTACCCTGGGCAGGTTCATTTTAAGCCTCCACCTTTACTTAAAAAATTAGAGGATCTTAATTAAGATGTTGTTGGTGACGATGACGACGATTTTCCTCTTTATGCAGTTTTTGTCTCCCTGACTGCCTGAAAGTCCTGAGGCAAAGCGTTGCAGTATCTCTGCAGGTGTCAGAAGACCTGGAGAAATGGACCGGAAATGGGCTTTTGGAAGATACAGCACAGGCCCTGGTGCAGTTTCAAAGAGGCGCCGCAAGATGGCAGTGCAGGGAGAAGGCGAAAAGCGGCGTGTCCGAAGCCTCTCTTGACTGACAGACGCGCCGGCGAGTAGCGGAAGAGGAAGCGACCACGTGGGGCGCTCTACGGTGGCCGAGAGGATGCCGCTGCTGTGTTAGTAACGAGGCAAGAAGCACGGCCGGGAGGTGCAGGGAGCTACGTTTCTCTAATCTAGCTCCCCCGGTCTCGAGGAGGGTGACCCGGCAGCCGTCACCATGGTGAAGGAGCAGTTCCGAGAGACAGATGTGGCCAAGAAAATGTAAGGAGGGGCAAGAATGGCCAAAGGACGGAGAAATGAGGGGCAGAGGGGCGCGAGGTCAGGGGTCCTGGGTCTCAAAGAGTCGGAGATGAGGGTCAATTGGATGGGGAGGGCCAGGAATCAGCGGAACGTGGTGGGCAAAGCTTAGAAGTAATCAAGGTAGGTCAAAGAAATCGGTCAGGCAGAGGGTATTCCAGCACTCGGGGGACTGCAGGCCGGGTTGGCCCCTGGGCTTGGGGAGGAGTAGGTGGGATGGGACGTGAGCCTTGGGCCTAAGCACGAGTCCTCTCGAGGTCAAACGATGGCCCCTTTGTTTCAGCGAATCTTCTGCCACTGCAGCGTGGGGGAGCAGTCTGGGCCGGGGAGTGTGTCTAATTCTGGTATTACTGCAAAGCACCTAACACGGAGGCAACATTTGCTGACCAAAAGGTTGGAGTCACCAGCTAGAAAGCTATACCACTGGGCTGTGGGTGGCAGTCTCAAAAATAAGGCTGCGCTTCTGGGTCTACTCCTTCAGAGCTTAGTTATCAGGCCACGATCTCTCCTTAATGCTTCCAGTGGGAAAATGAACCAGTTGCTGTTGCAGCAGATGCTCACTGAGGAAGGTATGGTGTGCTAGACCCAGCCATAGGCTTTAGGGATGGGGCGTGAATAAGACCTTACTGCCTAGTCTAGTCGAGGAAGGTAGACAAGTGAACCTTGGCAAGTACAAGCGTAGGTATAGGGGTTCGGAGAGTATGTAATGAGAAAGCAGAAAAACGCCGACCAGATAAGGAGCGCACTGGAGGGAGAAAGGGGTGATGAGAAGGACGTGGGAGATCTGAAGCTGTGTTCCAGAGTCATCTGGCAGGCAGTAAGGAACCTTTGAAGCGTGTTAAGCAGGGAAGTGTCTTGATAAGAGTGCTTCTTCTGGAAGATCTCTTGATTCTTGGGGAACAGAGTAAGAGAGAGACCTGGGAGGCCACTGCAGGGGGTCCAGGCAAGGGAAATGATGGTCTGCATGAGGGTGGTAGAGTCATTGGAGAGAAGTGGATTTTAGAGGAGTTTAGGATATAAAATTGACAGGAGTGTTAGGGATGAGGGAAGGGAGAAGTGAGATTGAAACACAGAATTTCTTGCTTGGGCAGCTGTGTGGATGGTTGCCATTCAAGGGGAACAAGTATCTTACTTGGAAGAATCCATATTTCCCTGGCCCCTCATGCCCACCCCAAACCCCATCCATATTCAGATGTAATCTGTTCTCACAAAGCAGGCTGGCAGACTCTGTTAAGATGCAAATTAGGTATCTGAGACTTCCATTTAAAACCTTCTAACAGCTTTCTTTTGCGCTAACATTTAAATTCTCTACCAGAGTTCTCAAGCCCAACCTGACCTGAGCCCTGTATACCTCACTGATTTCGTCCCGTACCATTAGTTTTCTGTGCTCCATCATACTGGCTTGGTTCATTTGGTTCTCGAATGCCACGCTTGTGCTGGCTCTGGGACCTTTGCCCTAGCTGTTCTCTACTAAAAATGCCGGACCTCTGTCTGGTTTTACGGCTGTCTCCCTCTTACTCAGGATTCAGCTGAAATGTCAACTTTACAGAGGCTTTCTGACCCCATAACATAGTTTTCTTAGACTCTGTCTACCACTTCATATCATTTTCAATCTCTGCATCTATTCACTTTTGTGTCTGTATTTGCTTGTCTCTCTTGCCCACCCTGAACGGTGAGTCCCATGTTGGCAGGGTCCTTGTCTGTGTCCTCTAATATGGATCTTCAGCTTGGCACATCGTAAATCCCCGGTTTGTTGGTCAGATGGTTGAAGGAAAAGATTTGGGAAAGAAAGTTCTGGGTTCTGTTTTAGATGTGTCGAGTTTGAGGTGCCTGTACGGCTATGCAGAAGAGGTCTCCAGCCGAGTAGTAGTAGCTGGTCTATAGGAGATTAGACAGACATTAACAGGTACTCCAGTGACACAGTCACTCAAGAGGGATGTGTAGAATAAAAAGGAGTTGTGTTGCATCCCTAGGTGAGGAGAGATCATACTTAAGGGATGGTAGTAGAAAAAACTACAAAAGAGACTTAAGAAGGAACAGGTGGCGTGGGGCCAAGGCATTCAAAGAGTATGTGGTGTCACCAAGGCCGTGAGAAGAAAATATTTCAAGATAAGGGGGAGAGGGAGTTAACATCCAGCACTGCAGAGCAGTAAAATAAGAACATTCTCCTAGAATTTAGCAGCAAGCAATCATTCACTTGATAGTAAGAATGGAAATTATTTCAGTAGGACGAAGGGATGCTTACCAAGGAAAAATGGGAGAGATTTGAATATATTTAATAATAGCACAGCGAGCCTACAGACAGTTGGAAGGATAAGGTTGGCTGTGGTGGCTCACTGTGTAATAGCCGCTTTTGGTAAGCGGTTTTGATGTAATTTCTCCCCTCTCGTTATTAATTAAGTAAGCTCTATGCACTACATTGGATTTCCACTTGCGATCCCAAGATCAAGAGTCTTGGTGCCCTACCGACTGAGCCAGGCAGGCACCCCAACTCCCGTCTCTTTTTATTCCAGAAGCCACATCTGTTTTGGAATGAAGTCACCTGAAGAGATGCGCCAACAGGCGCACATCCAGGTTGTGAGTAAGAACCTGTATAGCCAGGACAACAACCACGCCCCCTTGCTGTATGGTGTGCTTGACCATAGGATGGTAAGGTCCCAAACCTTCCCGCTTCTGTGCGTTTTGACTTGCCAGATTGGAAGAAGCAAGAGCTTCTCTCCATCTCCCTTGTTCCCCCGGCACATCTCAGGGTCTCCAGACCTCGGTCTGGAGGATTTGAATGCACTGCACTTTCCCAAGCGATTTTGACTCAGAGTCACCTGGTCCCTCTTTCCTGTGCAGTGGTCTCCATTAGTGATTGCGTGTGCTTTTTTCCAAAGGGTACAAGTGAGAAGGACCGTCCTTGCGAGACCTGTGGGAAGAACCTGGCTGACTGTCTGGGACACTACGGGTACATTGACTTGGAGTTGCCATGCTTCCATGTGGGCTACTTCAGAGCAGTTATAGGCATCTTACAGGTAGGCGCAGAGGTGTCCGTTTTCAGGGTGTAAACTTAGGAACTACTGCTCAGGGACACTGGGAGTGAGCTTAGGAGCTGTGAGTGGTCAGGGGGACATCTGGGGAGGATTTTTACATTACATAACGTAATACTGCATCTTACAAGAAGACACATAAGGATTCTTTACTCTTGATTTTTCTTGAGTAGGTGGTAAGTACGTGTTGTAAAAAGTAATCATGTGCTCTGGGTGGCTCAGTCAGTTAAGGGTCCAATTCTTGATCTCTGCTCAAGTCATGATCTGACGGTTCGTGGGTTCAAACCCCACATCGGGCTCCGTGCTAACGGCACAGAGCCTGCTTGGAAATCTCGCTCCACCCCCCTCTCTCTGCCCCTCCCCTGCTTGCTTTCTCTGTCTGTCTCTCAAACTAAACTTTTTTTAAAAAAAAAATTTTTTTAAGCGTTTTACTTATTTTTGAGAGAGTATGAGTATGAGAGACACACACTATGAGTGGGGGAGGGGCAGAGAGAAGGAGGAAGACACAGAACCCGAAGCAGGCTCCAGGCTCTGAGCTGTCATCACAGAGCCCGACGTGGGGCTTCAGCCCACGAACCATGAGACCATGACTTGAGCTGAAGTCAGACTCTTAACCAACTGAGCCACCCAGGCGCCCCATAAGTAAACTTAAAAAATAATAATAATCATGAATCAAGCAGTACAGAACAGCACAAAATTTAAAAATCAGCAAAAATTCTATCAGGCAGCTCTGACTATAAGTAGCATTCTGGTGAACATCAGCCCCCTCTCTGTGCATATCTCCGGGCACATCGCTTAGTCTTCTGGGCAAGAGGTAGGGGTGACTTTTTTTTTTTTTTTCCTTCAAGAAAAGACTTTTTCATCTCTCATCCTTTCATCGGTTTTAATTTTTAAAAGATGATCTGTAAAACCTGCTGCCACATCATGCTGTCCCAGGAGGAGAAGAAGCAGTTTCTGGATTACCTGAAGAGACCCGGCCTGACCTACCTCCAGAAACGTGGCCTGAAGAAGAAAATCTCTGATAAGTGCCGGAAGAAAAACATCTGCCATTACTGCGGTGCTTTTAATGGTGAGGAGAACACATAAAAGGTTTGGTGATAGTCCTTTCCACTTACTCTGGTCCATTTAGCTTATTAGTTTTATGGAGTGTTGGGAGGTCAGGTTTTTTTCTTGCAAACTAGACATTAGAGCCTAGCAACTGATGCCCTGTTAGCCAAATGCATTTTCAGTGATTTCATTAGCCAGACTGCAGCCTCAGGCCAGCCTGAGCAAGTATCTCATTTTCCCAACCTTGGTAAATAAATTCTCTCTTACAGGTACTGTAAAGAAATGTGGATTACTGAAGATAATTCATGAGAAATACAAGACCAACAAAAAAGTGGTGGATCCTATTGTATCAAATTTCCTTCAGTCTTTTGAAACAGCCATCGAGCATAACAAAGAAGTAGAACCACTGCTGGGAAGGGCGCAGGTGAGCCTGAAATCACATGCCTGCCTCCCCCCGCATCACACGCACCCATTCTTACCCCTCCCTCTCTGATAGACACGTCTTCCAAAATGAGAAGCTCCGTTAAGGTAGATCTCTAGGAATACTTCCATGAAAAGTGTTTATCTTACAGTGTGTTCAGTGTTTAATGTAGACTGATCATGTAACTAACATGCTTTTTTTTTTTTTTTTTTTTTTAGCATTTATTTATTTTTGAGAGACAGAGACTGCATGAGCAGGGGAGGGGCGGAGAGAGAGGGAGACACAGAATCCGAAGCAGGCTCCAGGCTCCGAGCTGTTAGCACAGAGCCTGACACGGGGCTCAAACCCACAAATTGTGAGATCATGACCTGAGCCGAAGTCGGACGCTCAGCTAACTAACACACTTTGAATTGTGCAGACAGCATGTCACAGTTGTATCTTAAGAGATTGTGGCATCACAACTATACAGAGCATAAACTGAGAGAGCCTGTGTCTCACATGGGTGAGATCTAAGAAATTGTAGGTAACTCCCATTACTTTTCTTGGTACAGGCTTAACTAGTAGAACTTTATGAAGTATCCTGTTCTGCCTCACTTTGATTTCGATTAGTACTGAATTCACACAGTACCATCCAGAACTGGTAGTATACAAAACTAACAAATCAGTTGAGTGGCTACTGAGTACCAAATTCTGTCAGTCATATGGGGAGTGTCAGGAACTGTAAGAGAGTGGGTCTGTTGTCACTGACCCCACCGTTTAGATGTGTCACGAGCAAGTAGTCTGAAAAGATAACTGACATCCTGGGCCAGGGCGCTAACCATCACTTGAGTGGCAGAGACCGGAAGTACAGTACGGTGGGAAAGGAGGAGGAACGTGTTGCTTTGGACTTGGTTGGGAAATACTGAGGAAAGGTGTGGTTTGTTCTGGTCTTCAAACAGGAGTAGGGTTTACAGAATCGAGGGTACTGAGCTCAGCACATCCAGGCGGCAATGCCTCGGCTGATTCTGAGGCTGAGGCTCTGAAAGACCAGAGAGTGCTAATGAAAGCACTTACCTTCAGGGACTGCTGAGAGGGACAGGACCTGTTCCTTGCTCTTCACATGGATTGCCTCTGATTTAATCCTCAGCAGTGCTTGAGACAGCCCTGCCCAAAGTGACAGAGAGGACTCAAGCCACGGCAGCTGGAGTGCTAGAGAAAAGACACAACTGAGAGCTTGGTATAGAGCTGTCCTGCTCCGAGGAGCGTGGCCCCATCAGAGGCTTTGAGGTGGTGAATGGTTCGTGGTGAATAAATGACAGAATTGTAGGACAGCCTGACTGCTCTTCACAAGACCCCATTACCAGAGAGAAAGGGCAGGTCACGGCTTAGGAGGAAGCGGTCACAATTCATATATCTGACAAAGGACTCTCGTATCCAGGAAACGGTCCTTAAAAATCAGTAAGAAAAATAACCTGATTTTTTTAAATTTATATTTATTTTGAGAGAGAGAGAAGGTAAAAGGCAGAGAAAGAGAGGAAAAGAGATAGAATCCCAGGTAGGCTCCGCACTTCAATGCAGAGCCCAGTGTGGGGCTTGAACTCACAAACCATGAGATCATGACCTGAGCTGAAATCAAAGGTCAGACGCTTAACTGACTGAGCCACCCAGGTGCCCCAAAATACAACCTGATTTTAAGCAGTGGGGGCAAAACTTGAATTGGCACGTCCCAAAGCGTCCATTCCAATGCCAATAAACAAAGGAACATTGCTCAATGTTATTAGTCATCAGGGAATCACTAATTATAACTATACCCACACGGAAAAATGGAAATGTAAAAAAAACTGAAAACTACCTGCTTGCAAGGACGTGAAGTGACTAGCACTCACATTGATAGTGTGGAAGGTTACCGCTACTTTGAACGGCGGTTTAACGATTTCTTACAAAGTTACGCCTACACTAACCATACAATTCAGCTGTTTGTTTTTTTTTAATTTACATCCAGATTAGCCCATAGTGCAACAATGACTTCAGGAGTAGATTCCTTAATGCCCCTTCCCCATTTAGCCCATCCCCCCCCACATCCCCCCAGTAACCCTCTGTTCCCCATATATATGAGTCTCTTGTGCTTTGTTCCCCTTCCTGTTTTTATATTATTTGTGTTTCCCTTCCCTTATGTTTATCTGTTTTGTCTCTTAAAGTTCTTATATGAGTGAAGTCATGTGATATTATAGGATATTTCTCTGACTAATTTTGCTTAACTTAATACCCTCCAGTTCCATCCACGTGGTTGCAAATGGCAAGATTTCATTCTTTTCAACTGCCAAGTTATACTCCATTGTGTAATATATACCACATCTTCTTATCCATTCATCCATCAATGGACATTTGGGCTCTTTCCATACTTTGGCTGTTGTTGATAGTGCTGCTATAAACATGGGGGTGCATGTGTCCCTTCGAAACAGCACACCTGTATTCCTTGGATAGATACCTAGTAGTGCAATTGCTGGGTCGTAGGGTAGTTCTATTTTTAGTTTTTTGAGGAACCTCCATACTGTTTTCCAGAGTGGCTGCACCAGCTTGCATTCCCAACAATTGAGCAATTTTAATCCAGTACATACCTGAGAAAAATGAGTGCATATGTCTGCAGAAATATTTGTATGAGAATGTTCATTGCAAGTTGATTAATAAAAGCCAGAATTGGAAATAGCCCAAATGCCTGTCAGCGGGAGCATAGCAAATTGTCATAAAAAATTTTTTTTTAATGTTTATTTATTTTTGAGAGAGAGACAGAGCATGAGCCAAGAAGGGGCAGAGAGAGGGAGGGAGACACAGACTCTGAAGCGGGCTCCAGGCTTTGAGCCGTCAACACAGAGCCCGACGCGGGGCTCGAACCCACAAACCATGAGGTCATGACCTGAGCCGAAGATTGGCGCTTAACTGACTAAGCCACCCAGGTGCCCCTAGCAAATTGTCATAGATCCACACGATGGAATACTATGCTGTAATGAAAGAAGTGAACTCGTGACACGCAACCTGGCCAAAGGTCAGAATCCTGCAGAGAACGAGAAGCATATACAAGAGAGTACGTGGTGTATGATTCCACGTAGATCAAGTCCAGCAATAGGCCAGACTGATCTGTGGTGATTGACATCAGGAGAGTAGTTACCCCTGGGGTGAGAGCTTGGTACTGACTGAAAAGAGGTATCAGGGTCCTGGGGCGCTTAGGTGGCTCAGTTGGTTAAGCGTCCGACTTTGGCTTAGGTCGTGGTTCATGAGTTTGAGCCCCCCATGGGGCTCTCTGCCGTCAATGCAGAGCATGCTCAGGCTTCTCTCTCCCCCTTGCCACTCCCCTGCTCATGCTCGCTCGCACTGTCAAAAATAAAAATTGTTTTAAAAATACCAAGGTCCTTTTATGGAGAGATGGAAATACTCCGCATCTTGATCGGAACACTGGTGTGTGTCTGGTATATATGCGTAGAAGCGTGTCAGTCTCTTTAGGATTTGTGGAATTTAGTATGTGTGAATTATGCCTTGACTGGGGAACAGAATGGGTACAAAGAAAACAGACCGTGAACCTGGTGGTGTTAAAGGAGCCAGAGGCCAGAGTCACTGCATGCAGTAAGAATGGTCAGGGGCTGCAAGTGTGCGTGCAGATGTCTGGGAAAGGGGAGTGTTCTGGAAATGGGGAGAGGGTGTCAGCAATTGATTCAGGCAGAAATGTCTTCAAAGGCAGTAAGGGTGAAGCTGCTACAGAGGAAGTGCGGGCGGGCTGAGGAAGATGGTCTTGGCCCTTGTACAGCCCAAGAGAGAGAGGCACTGTCCAGGCTGGTGGCTGTGCAGAAAGCTTTCAGGAGCCTGGTGAACAGCCTTGGTCATGGGTGTGAAGGGTGCCTGGGCTTTCCTGGGGGCGGCCTGACTTGCAGGGTGCCCCTGCACGCACTCTGCCGCTCCTGGATCAGCATCCTTGACAGCCCACCACTGCCCCCTGCCAGCTTTCTGTCCGGGACGGGTGACCACTATCTCTGCTCCACACACTCTCCATAGTAGGGAGTAGCACGATTCTCCCATACGGCCTGGGAGGCATCTTGTTTGGGAGTCTCCTTCCTAAATGACTCGGCCCTGGAGGTAACCCCTCCCGTTTCAGAGTCTAGAGCATCGAGCTTGGCTCCCTGGGCATTCCCCCACTGCCGCCACCCCCACGTATCTCACCTCACTCTATCCAGATTGATGCCCCAGAGGTGGTTTAGGGTAGTGGTGAAGAGCTTTGGCCTTGGAGTTGGACCCAAGATTAGAGCCCAGTTCTGCTGCTTGTTTGTTCTGTGACCTTAGACACGTGACCCAACCTGGACTTGAGTTTTGTAACTCTAAACAGGGATTACAAGAGTATCTGCTTTAAGGCTATTGTGAGGATTAAGAGTTGAATTCCAGATCAAGTGCTTAACAGAGTGCCTGGTGCAGAGCAAGTGCTTAGACCGTATTACCCAGTTGCAGTAGTTAGCGCTGCTACTGACAGTATGAGAACAATGACAGGGCTGCCCAGCTGGCTCAATGAGAAGGACGTGTGACTCTTAATCTCAGGGTCATGAGTTCGAGCCCCACTTTGGGTATAGAAATTACTTCAAATAAATCAACTTCGAAAACAAATAAAAGCAATTTTGTCTAGTGCATCTATATGATTCAATTTATGATAGTGGAATTATTTTTAAAAAAATAATGACAGACATGGTGAGGATAGATGAGGTTTCCTCCCTCTCCACATGTAGGCTCAGACTCCATGTCCTTTTGGCTTTACTCAGCCTGCTCCCTTCCCCTCTTTACCAAACTCTCCCTTCCCTTGGCTTCTTCCCTGCAGCCCGGCACACCTCTGTTCTCCGGACCCTTTGACCTCACTCTTTCCTCAACCACATGTCCATTGTCTGTGCCTCCATAGCACCTGTGTTCCATCTTACATTTCTGCTGGTTTCTCTTTTAAGTGTGGTCTATAACAAGATCTGTTTTTCTGAGGCCCTGTTTGATGCCAGTCACAGTGCTTGGACAGTGTGGGGGCCTCCAGACTCATCAGAGACCATCAGCTCATCCTGCCTTTTTTTTTTTTTTTTTTTTTTTTTTTAAGTTTATTTATCTCAAAAGAATGTGTGCACGCTGGGGAAGGAGCACAGAGGAGAGAAGGGGGGGAGAGAATCCCACGCAGGCTCCATGCTATCAGTGCAGAGCCCAACATGAGGTCGATCTTATGAACCCAACTGTGAGGTCGTGACCTGAGCTGAAATCAAGAGCCAGACGCTTAACAGACTGAGCCACCCAGGGCCCCTCATCCTGGTTCTTATACCTGCTTGGAAGAAGGGAGGGGGCAAAACAGGAATTCACCATTTGCCTGATTCCAAATGGCCCTTCCTCAGAACCACTTAGTAACCTGAAGTGAACAAAGCTTCAGTGACTTACTTTTACCTTTTGTGGAGAGGGGCATTGTGCAGACAGGCGAACGTATTGCCCTGAAGTTCATTGATCTCAGGATGATCCACATCCTGACATGTTTACCTACCCATTTAATTTCCAGGAACATGGAACCTCATATGCCTTTATGGGTAGCATAGCATTCTTGAGTTGATGGAGACCATAGAGCAGTGGTTCTGGACCTTTCCTGGCTCACAGACCTCTTTAGGAATTGAACAAAAACTCTGGACTCTATCTCCAGAAGACTAGTGTATATCCACTCCCCATTTTTTGTTTTGTTTTCAATTTGTTTTCATTTTTTAGGGCATGCAAGCTGGGAAGAGGGGGATAGAGAGTCTTTTTTTTTTTTTTTGGTGTGGGGCGGGGAGTACCCTCAAGAAGGAGAGAGAGGATCTTAAGTAGCCTCTGTACTTGGCATGGAGCCTGCCGTGGGCTCAATCCCGCAATCCCGGGATCGTGACCTGAGCTGAAATCAAGAGTCGAGTTGGACGCTCAACCAACTGAACCAACCCAGGTGCCCCATCCAGTCCCAGTTTTAATGCAAATCCAGGGGTTGGTGGACCTGCAGATAAGAGTTTTTCCATAGATGGCATCAGTCTTGCCTCCCCACCAGGTATAAATGCCTTCCACAGCATCTCCGGCAGACTGAGCAGCATGCTGAGAGCACACGGTGCTCTCTTCACCACCACCCAAGGCAGCCCACGCTCCACCAGGGAGCCCTAGCTGTTGGGATATTCCGCCTCAGACCAAACAGCCCTTCTGTCTCTCTAGTGGTCCCCAACTTCTGTTTCCTGTCACATAACAATAAGTCAGGCCCACTTCCGTGTGTCCGTTGGGAGATTGTTGTTACGTGACTCTTGCCAGTCTTGCCCCCCTGCATCGTGGATGTCCGTGATGTCCTTGTCTGGCACGACTCTAGTACTACAGGTGACATTCAGCCTTCATCCTGTTCCTTGAGCTCTTAGTTTTAGATTTCCTCCAACTGCTTCAGGTGGCCATGAGGTGCTTGTTGCTGGGGGACAGGGAAGCTGAGGGAGGTGAATTCTGTGGGCAGGGACCAGACTGCAAAACGTCAGGCAGGATTCCTTCTCCCCAACTCTACTGCCATCTCTTCCAGGGTAGGACCATGGAAACTTCCTCTTGCGACAGTGTTTTAAGGGCAGTGGCTGTTCAAACATTTCTTCTTGGTTTTGCTCCCTATTTCATTAAGTTCCGCATAGCAAGTTCTGGTTGTAACGTGTTCTTGGTCACACAGTCTCTCATCCCAAGAAAATGTAATAAGCAGCAACAAGACACAAGCTGACTGTTCTTAACTTTCGTCTTTGGGTATCTCTAATCATTTGTATTGTTCTTGTATTACAAGTGAGTTGTTGTAGCATAGCACTTCTATTAAATGAAGTTAATACAAAGGCAATATAAGTTCACTGTAGAAAATGGAAATGTAAACGAAGAAGCGATTATAATTCCATTCACCTGCAGACGGTACTGTTAACACCTCGCTAAACGTACATTTTCTCTTTTCTCTACAGATGTACATTTTCCCCCAAAATGAGATCATATTATATGCACACTTCTTTCATTTACCAATGTCTTATGAACATCTTCCATAACAGTGGCTACATTTCTGTAATGTCGTTTTTTAATGGCTTCATGCTTGCTCACATGTGGATATACCATGATTTTGTCTAGCCAGCAACCTATCAGACAGTCTCAATTCTTCGCTATTAACGGCTTTACTGAACATCCCTATAGCCAAATCTCTGTGTTGACTTCTAAAGTCAGACCCTGTGGAATAATTATGAGAAGTGGAATTGCTGGCATTAAATAATTGGAAGGAAAGGTATACACATGTTTAGGGCTCTGCCAGTGTAGCGTGTTACCAACAGAAATCTCTGCCCATGTTTGTACTTACTCTGAGTTCCGTGATGGGTCGGGTAGAGTGCACGGAGAAGTAAACCCATGCCCAAGCTGTGGGAAGTTAACGTGTGTCTCCATTCTTCCTTTCCTGCTCTCCATAGGAAAACCTGAATCCTTTAGTAGTTCTGAATTTATTTAAACGAATCCCAGCTGAAGATGTCCCTCTACTTCTAATGAACCCAGAAGCTGGAAAGCCCTCTGATTTGATTCTCACGCGACTTTTAGTGCCCCCTTTGTGTATCAGACCCTCCGTCGTGAGTGATTTGAAGTCTGGCACCAATGAAGATGATCTGACAATGAAACTGACAGAAATCATTTTCCTAAATGATGTCATCAAAAAGGTCAGTATTTCTAAGCCCCAGGTTTAGGAGTGTATCTATGCAAACCCTTCTTATCGAGAAAGATTGACCCAGGATAATTTTTTTTTCTTTATTTCTGCTCATTTTTAGCATCGCATATCAGGAGCTAAGACCCAGATGATCATGGAAGACTGGGATTTCCTGCAGCTGCAGTGCGCCCTCTACATTAACAGTGAGCTCTCGGGCATCCCCCTCAACATGGCGCCCAAGAAATGGACCAGAGGTTTTGTCCAGCGCCTAAAGGGAAAACAGGGTACGTTTCCAACAAGATGTGCAGGAGACAGTCTTCTGCCTTTTGTTACCCTTTTTTTGGAGCATGTCTAGTGTATCTAGTTGGAAATTACAGAATTTTCTTGTTTGTGGTCATACTATATCCCCAAACAGCATACATTTGTGCTGCAGAGACCTATAGCCTATTTTTATTGATTTAGGTCGATTTAGAGGCAACCTTTCAGGAAAGAGAGTGGATTTTTCTGGCAGAACAGTCATCTCACCTGACCCCAACCTCAGGATTGATGAGGTAGCCGTGCCAGTTCACGTGGCCAAAATTCTTACTTTTCCTGAGAAGGTAAGTACCATTCAGCCGCTCGATTCTGTTTTGACTCCAGTCTTTTACATTATTATTTTGAGATTCCAAACAGTAGACAGTTGGAAAATCCCAAGGTGTGCGTGTTATCTTCCAGTCTGATGCATATACCACCGCATGTAGTGTCTGCAACATACACAAACACAGATATGTCTGCCTTTGTGTGTGTATATTCACATTTATGTCAGACATCTCTTCTCTAACTTACTTCTCCAAGGAGTATGGTCTTTGACCTCTTCCTGTGTTGGTTCTTACCTCTTCTTTTAAAATAACTAATGATAGGGGCGCCTGGGTGGCTCAGTTGGTTGAGCATCTGACCTCAGCTCAGGTCACGATCTTGCAGTTCGTGGGTCCGAGCCCCGCGTCAGGCTCTGTGCTGACAGCTCGGATCCTAGAGCCTGCTTCAGATTCTGTGTCTCCCACCCTCTCTGCCCCTCCTCTGCTCACACTGTCTGTGTCTCTCCCTCTTTCTCAAAAATAAACGAAAATTTTAAAAAGCAATAAAATAAAATAAGGCCACTTAATGATAAACACCACACCCAGTTAATTTTCTTGGGATAGATTATTATTTTTAAGGCCTTAACAACCATCGAGTCCAATATCTGGGGTGTTTTAAGACTATTGAGGCATAGGGGCGCCTGGGTGGCGCAGTCGGTTAAGCGTCCGACTTCAACCAGGTCACGATCTCACCGTCCGTGAGTTCGAGCCCCGCGTCGGGCTCTGGGCTGATGGCTCAGAGCCTGGAGCCTGTTTCCGATTCTGTGTCTCCCTCTCTCTCTGCCCCTCCCCCGTTCATGCTCTGTCTCTCTCTGTCCCAAAAATAAATAAACGTTGAAAAAAAAAAAAAAGACTATTGAGGCATAGCCAGAAAGGCTGCCCCACTTTACACTTAACTCACACTCATCATGAGTGTAAAATGGCCTTTACAGTAACTGAGGTATAGAAAATGCAAGGCCTGATAGCAGGAAGGTATTGGCTTCGGGTTTGCTTTTGAGATTCATAATTAGCCCAGATCATGGAAGCTTCCGGTAAAGCTTGTGTAAAGTATCCTTAGTTGATTTACTAATGATCCAGAGTTTCCTTCTCAGACAGTATTTCACGAGACTGTTGTCCAAGAGGTCATGGGACATGATGTTGCAGACCAGGGTCTAACAGTGCTGGTGCCACAGCTTTTAAACCTCGGGAGCCCATGGTAAATCACTGCTAGTAAAGTTGCCAACTGCTCATAGAATGTTCTGGAAGGTCCTTTCAGCTGAGTCCAGCCCACTCATTTTACTAATGGGGAAACCAAAGGCCAGAAAGGACTTGGCCATTTCACCCTTCCAGTGGTGAGTTCGGACTGGAACCCGGGTGCCTGTGTGCCAATCAGCTGTTGTCGTTAAACCCAAGACTCTAGGCAGCAGGAGATAAACAAGTTTCTTCTCTTTCTTCTGGAATCACTCAAGGAAAGTAAAGATTGGGACACAGTACAGTATAGTGTGCTAGCTTACGGAAAGCTAACAGCCTCTCCTTGTGTCTTCTATCGTGGTTGTGCAGGTGAACAAAGCAAACATCAACTTTTTGAGGAAACTGGTTCGAAATGGCCCTGAAGTTCACCCAGGAGCCAATTTCATTCAGCAGAGACACACACAGATGAAAAGGTAATGCTGTCTCAATCTGTTTTTCTTTTTAATTTTTTTTTAACATTTATTTATTATTGAGAGCAGAACATGTGCATGGGAGGGGCAGAGACTGGGGGGGAGACACAGAATCCAAAGCAGGCTCCAGGCTCTGAGCTGTCAGCACAGAGCCTGACGTGGGGCTCAAACCCACAAACTGTGAGATCATGACCTGAGCCAAAGTCTGATGCCTAACTGATTGAGCCACCCAGGCGCCCCAAGCTGTCTCAGTCTAGCTGTGTGTAACGACCTTCTCATGACAGAGGTCGCCATATTCAGCCAAAGAATGTCATCCAAAATCCGGTATTTGTGACATTTTAGCCTGTGGAAAATACTGTTTAAATTGTAGTGAGCCTAGGTATGTCATTTGCTGTGCTTACTCGTTGCATATACACAAAATGTCTATTTGTTCCCTTGCGTTTAACGTTGGATCTAGGAAGACAGAACACGTGGGGGTGTGCAAGCCAATCATTTTCTACATCGTGTGGGCTCTCTGGGGTTACTTGACTCTACTCACAGCCTAGGGGGCACTGGTTTGGCCAGCTCTGACCCTTCACTGATCTCTGGTGCCTTTTTATCTCTTGAGACAAACATGAGACAAAACATATCAACAGGGTGCTGTGGGAGAAGCTGACTTATGACTGCATTTTTGTGATTCTAAGACATAATTTTCTCATATTTAACATTTACAAAATGAGGACCTATCTGTGTCATAGTTTAATGGCTTGTGGAGGCAGCTTTGATCCAATGAAATATCCATCATTTTAGAGACTGAATCCTGACATGAAGAGGGAGCACCTTGGTGAGGGAGCTTTGTTCTCACAGATCACGTTTCTTATCACATGTGTAGGTTTTTGAAATACGGAAATAGGGAAAAGATGGCTCAGGAGCTCAAGTACGGGGACATCGTGGAGAGGCACCTCATAGATGGAGATGTGGTGCTGTTCAATCGGCAGCCCTCACTGCACAAATTGAGCATTATGGCGCATCTGGTGAGTGTGAGATTCTGTTTTTATTTTCTGTTGGTGGGAGTCTGCTGTGTGCGCATGCTAAATTCCAGACTCCTAAAATTAAGATTGCCGGTAATCTGAAATTTTTTGTCACTTTTGATTTTTCTCTTCCTTCACTTTTTAGTTTGAGTGAAACTTTTACATTTTAAGCTTCCCTTCAACGTTTTTAATATTTATAAAATCCGCACTCAACAGTAAAACAGAAAGGAACTAATTGAAAATTGGCATGAAAGTAACTGGCATGATTTCACTTGCAAATGAAAATATATACATATATATGTGTATGCAGACTTATGTAAAACAGATATAGCTGAAAGTTGACTTGGGGTTTAACGTGGCTTATTAACTATGGAACTAAAATGCTTAGGAGATTTTTCGTCACAGTGGCCCTCCAATGAAGACCTTGGAGCATATTTTTTTCAGTGATTTAGTTTTGCAACAACAGCAGTTCCTTTTTCTGGAGATTTAAAATGGAAATGAGGTGCAACTTTAATTGGTTAAATATTCATAAATTCTCCTATCTCCAAAGCCATTAAATCCACGAGCATTTGCAACAGCATTTAAACAGGCTCTTCAGTTAGCGTTTTTCTAGATTTGGTCTTTCAGTTTACGAACATGCTGCATCAGTCATTTGACTTAAGCGTGGAAATACCGAAGAAGCACTTTATGACTATGGGATTATGATCATGGGGATCTAGGGAGGTGAACAAAATCCCTCCCTTTCCAGAAACTTTTGCTTGGCTTTGGGACATTTTCAAAGTAAAGCGTTTTTTGCTTGAAAAATTTCAAATATATACAAAAGTAGAAAGAATACTATGACGAACTCATATGTTCCCATTCTCTATGTTGAATAATTTTCCAAGATTCTGCCACACCTGTTTTCTCTCTCCCTTCTTTCTTTGATGACCCAGGTGCCAGGTCTTTTCTCCGTGTGTGATCAGTTCACACGTGTGATGGGGGCACCTGGGTGGCTCAGTCAAACAGTTTACTTGTGCAAGACACACACAACCACAGCGCCATTGTCACAACCACACGGAATGAACACTCACTCCCTGCTGTTGTCTAGCACACAGCCCATGTGCACATTTCCCCAAGGGTCTCAACTGTCTTTTCGCAGCTACTTTGTCCAAATCAGGATGTAAAGTCTGCATGTTACATTTGGTTGATAAAGGTCCTCAGTCTCTCTACAACAATCTCCCCTCCCCCTGTCCTTGTAATTTCAGTGTCGTTGTTGGAAAAAAAACAGGTCACTTGTCCTAAACGATGTCTCGTGTTGTGTGTGTGTGTGTGTGTGTGTGTGTGTGTGTGTGTGTAAGCATACGGCACAAAGACTTTATTGTTCCTTTTATCCCTCTGAACTGGGCAGTACTCGAGGCGCGATCAGATTCAGGCTCAGCTTCTGGCAAGAATGACTCCTAGGTGGCACTGGCTGCTCCTTACCTTATTTCAGGAGGGGCGTGCTGTCTGGCTGCCCCACTCTTCTTATGTTGAGAAGGTTAGAGCGTCAGATACTTCAGCCTGATGCCTCCCTTGAAAGTTTCCTTACCAACCTTTTATCTAAAGACTTCATCCATGGCCAATTATTGCCCGTGTTATTTCATTGGGGCTGCAAAATGAAGAATTTCTCATTTATCATGCCTTTCATATTCCATACCTATCATTTTATTTAAAAAATTTTGGGGGGAGTGTCCCTGGGTGGCTCAGTCAGTTAAGCACCTGACTTTGGCTCAGGTCATGATCTCACCGCTCATGAGTTCAAGCCCCGCGTCAGGCTCTGTACTGAAAGCTTAGAGCCTGGAGCCTGCTTCCAGTTCTGTGTCTCCCTCTCTCTCTGCCCCTCTTCCACTCATGCTCTGTTTCTTCCTCTCAAAAATAAACATTAAAAAAGATTTTTTTTTAATTAAAAAATTAAAAAAAATTTTTTTTGAATCTTTTATTTATTATTTTTGATAAAGAGTGAGCAGGGGAGGAGCAGAGAGAGAGGGAGACAGAATCTGAAGCAGGCTCCAGGCTTTGAGCTGTCAGCACAGAGCCAGACATGGGGCTTGAGCTCACCAACCATGAGATCATGACCTGAACCAAAGTCAGATGCTTAACCCACCGAGCCACTCAGGCACCCCTCCATACCTATCATTTTTATAATGAAGAGCCTGTTCTTGTTAACTACGGTTATTTGTTTATCCAAAAATATAGCGCCTGAAGGAAAGGCAGCATAAATGCCTGATTCTTGTTCCTTTATTGTCAGTCTGGGAAGGAAAAAGTTGGTGCTCAGTTTCTTCCAACGAGGTCGGGTTGGATTTTTTTTGTCTGTTTTTGCTTTCTCTTTTTTCGGTGTCATTAACCCATGGGTTTTTCCATAAGAGACTCTTGAATACAGAGAACATACTGAGGGTTGCTGGCGGGGTGTTGAGAAGGGGGATGGGCTAAATGGGTGATGGGCATTAAGGAGGGCACTTGTTGGGATGAACACTGGATGTTCTATGTAAGTGATGAATCACTAAATTCTATTCCTGAAATCATTATTACGCTATATGTTAACTAACTTGAATTTAAATTATTATTATTTTTTAAATTAAAAAATAATAATAATAATAAACCCTGGGTTTTTATTTAGTCCATGTGTTTTATTCAACTTCTGCCATAAATCTTTTTCATACCCAGCTGTGACGTCACTGGCCAGTGGGAGCCCCTTCACATGGCTCTTAACCTTGGTGCTTACCTCGTATTAAAACAAACTCATTGCATTGTTTTGATCTCATAAAGAATACCTCCACAAGTGACATGTATCTCTTAACAAAACATACAAAGATTTTATTTCCTTAATCTAAAGTGTCCAGTTTTCGAGGAAGCCATTTATTAATATTTTGAAACCATGAAGCTTTTGGATAAATGACTAAGCCCCTCTCCTATTTTGTTTTTTTTGTATTCCACAGGCCAAGGTCAAGCCGCACCGGACCTTCAGATTTAACGAGTGTGTCTGTACACCCTACAATGCGGATTTTGATGGTGATGAGATGAACCTTCATCTTCCTCAAACAGAAGAAGCTAAAGCAGAGGCTCTTGTTCTCATGGGGGTATGTAGGGTAGGGCAGCCCCGCTTCTGTGTAACAGCTTGAAAGGAGGGGGAGGGGAGCGTGTGTCCTGTGTGAAAACACCCTGTAGGGTGTAAGGGAGTGTCAGTGACAGGTGGGGAGCTGAGAGGAGTGGGTATTCTTCTGGCCTGTAATATGCGTTTCTAAGGTACAGGACATACATGAAAACCAGCTGGGAAAAGATAGATGCGGGTGTAGCAGTTTCTTGACTGTTGGGTGTCAAGGGCACAGCAGATGTTCTGCATAAGTAGGTTTTCTTTTGAGTACCCATACCCTTTATTGAAGACTTTCCCATAGTATGTTACATACTTGTTTGTCGTCTAAAGGTCACCCTAAACAGAATCATTATATGATGACCCATACCACCATTTCATTTTCCAGCAGTTAAGGGGAGCCCCTTAGATGGTAGAGAAGTTCAGCGATGAGTCACACAGACACCTGCTCTCCAGGAGCGTGCGGCTGGGCTCTCGTTGCTGTGCTACATGGACTACCGGCTCGCGAACCCAGCTGTAGCACAGTGCTGCGCGGGGCTCATCGCTCCTAAATTTAACAGGGCCCCGAACTGTTGAGTTTTTAGAGGCTAGGTTTTCCTTTTTCCCAGTATTCTGGTTTTCTTGTTATGAGTAGATTTGGCTGTGGTTGTTAGTGTTTCTACCCACAAAACACTTCTTACCATTTCTGATAGAGTGCTTTTCATCTCTTTTGGGGTAGGATGTTAGTATCGATTCTTTTTTTTTTTTTTTTTCCACGTTTATTTATTTTTGGGACAGAGAGAGACAGAGCATGAACGGGGGAAGGGCAGAGAGAGAGGGAGACACAGAATCGGAAACAGGCTCCAGGCTCTGAGCCATCAGCCCAGAGCCTGACGCGGGGCTCGAACTCACGGACCGCGAGATCGTGACCTGGCTGAAGTCGGACGCTTAACCGACTGCGCCACCCAGGCACCCCTGTTAGTATCGATTCTAAAGTGAAGGCTGTGAAGTTCTGTAAGCAGATCTATTAAAAGTACATGAGGATTTGGTGGGGACAGGAACAAGTGGCTGCATTCATGGCCTGTGCCTCGGTTTTTCATGCCTAAAGTCAACATCTTTTCTAGTAAAGTATCTGATGTGTTACTTCTTTTGTACACACACTTAATACTAAGAAATTCATGCGGGTAATTTCAGTTTTTTTAGAACATCAGTTTCTTACTTATTCAAACATTGTAGTGTAATGGAGTTATTTAAATAAGGTGAGGTTTTTACAGATCACATCTCTTTTCTTTATCTCCATCTCTTTTTTTGTTGTTTATTTATTTGAGAGAGAAAGAATGGAGGGGTGGCAGACAGAGAGGGAGAGAGAGAATCCCAAGCACACTCAACCCTCAGTGTGGAGCCTGACATGGGGCCCGTTCACAACCGTGAGATCGTGACCTGAGCCAAGATCAAGATTTGGATGCTCAAGTGACTGAGCCACCCAGGCACCCCTATTTTTATCTGTTTGTTGCTTATCCACGAACTTAAGATGGTGGCAGTCATGGTTTTTAGTAGCCTTGGTTTTGCTTTTATCTACTTAACATGTTATAAATGCCCACCTTTGTTGTAAAGTTTTCATAATTATTGATTATAATGGCTTCACAGTATTTCACAAGCTTAGCACACCATGATTCACCTACCTTCTCCTGAAAATTTAGGGTGTTTTCCCTGTTTGCTATGAGGACAAATCCCTTAAGGGCCATCTTTGTGCATTTGGAGTCTTTCTTCCGAGTTGTTTCTTCAGACCCCTCAGCCTTTTTAAATGATTCGGTTGATGCTTAATGAGTACCTACTGTGTGCCACCAAGTACTCTCCTAGGAGGGCAACACAGAAGAAAAAAGTCAAAATTCTGGCTTTTATCCTTATTCGAATGGGGAGAGGTGGAGAATAAACCAATATAAAATAGGTCATGTGGTGGCAAGTGCTGAGAAGAAAAGAATAAATCACAACAAGGAGGAAAGAAAATGAGAGGGGTCCTGTTTCATGGAGGATGGTCTGAGAGGGCCACTAGAACGATAACACTCAAGGCAAGTTCTAAAAGAAGTTGACGAGCAGTGTGGTTGTCAGCAAAAGATCAGTCCAAGCAGAGGACCAACAGGTACAAAGACCCTGTGGTGTGATCATACATGAGGTAACGAGGCTAGCCTGTTTCCTCCTAAGCCTTGTATTTGTAGCAGTTGTGAGGAGTGCTGTGCTCTGTATTGGGAGGTAGCAAGAGAGAAGATGAGGAGGGCGAATGGCCATGAATGAGATCCACACTCCCACAGTCAGATGGTGCGTTGACCAGTGCAGTCATTTTTTCTGACCTTGTACTCTTACTCTAGTAAGCTCTCCAGAGGAAATAACCAGTTGCAAAATCACTTGTAATGATAAAACATTAGAAGCAGGCAATGTCCGCCAATAAAAAAGTTGGTTAGGTTAAATCACATCACATTCGTACCACAAAATCCTGCATGGCCCTTAAAAATGATGATGTAGTATTGTTGTCAGCATAAAGCTACTTATGATTTATTTTTTATTTAAAAAGCAGGCTGTGTGTAAGACATGATCTTATTTCATTTGGTAAATAGATGTTTCCGTGTTTGTAAAAAAGCTTATAGCCAGAAATTGGGAAGGTTATGTACCAAAATGTTTTAACAGCAGTTCTTTTGGTTTGGCAGTTCCATGCAGAGATGTTTTTTGGGATTCTGGGTGGGGTTTTTTTGTTGTTGTCGTTTTGGGTTTTTTCGCTTATCTATATTTTTAGACTTTCTGTAAAAAACATACTATTTTTGTAACAAAAAAGTAATAATTAGAATGTTGCTAGTGATATCAGCTATGTAAGCTAGTTGCTAGAGATAATGGCCTGTAGCCAACTACTTGGACTTCAGCCTTGAGTTCGGTACTGAGGATCCATTTTGTTATACAGCGTATATCATTGGTTAAAAATGACAATAAAACACAGGCTCTAAGGCCAGGATGGAAGATCTTTGTTACCATCAGGACAAATCCCCTCAATTACATGTAAGAAAGTTATCATCTAACTGTATCAACTCAGCAGTTCTGTCTCAATAGGTAGGGCTCTAGCCTGAATGTGGTCCCAAATTACTGGGGAGACTTTTGCAAAATATGCAAATCCCAGCTTCACGTGCTCAGCCCCAGACCACTCCATTTCCCATCCCAGAGAGATTCTTGAAAACAATCATGAACGATTACCTTCCAGCCCTCATTGGAGGATCTTTGTTCTGTGAATGTTCACAATAAAGCAGGAACAGGTCTCTGCCTTGGAGGGCCTTTTACTCCAGGTGAGGTTGCCTAGACAACCCACAAATAACATAAGCATCTCCACATCATGATTTGAGCAAATTTACATGTTGCTTATTTCCCAAGCACAACAGCAAAACTTGAGCATATGCACTCTGATGCACAGAATCTTTTTTAATTTGTTAATTATGCACTGGACAGCTAGCACCCCTTTTTGCTCAGTGTAGGCATTCATTAAATTTTCATTAAATCGTGTCATTAATTATCATTAGTACTCACTGTCTTCATTAAGAGTTCAACAGTTCTGCCCTCGTTGTGGAGAGGTATGAAATTGATTGACCTCAAAGAGAACAGTGCTGTTTATCATGTATAGAAGTGAATTTTCTTTGGAGAAGTGAATTTATTAATAACTAGGAAGTCTTACTTACACATACAGAGTTCTTACAGGGATCCAAAGCTTCATTCAGTATTTAGTGTTGGCAGGAACGTCTGACGTCAGTGTTGCAGGTATGCTTTGACTCCTCTTAACAGATGAAGGAGCAAGAGCTGGTGACAGCTGGGATTGAGAGCCTTGGCTGCCATTTCTCAGCCCCACTTTTCTGCTCGCCTGCTCTTCTTTATTTGTGTGTGACAATTCAGAGCCTTTGTGGTGCAGTTCTTTGGACTGCATCATGCAATCCAAAGAGTGTCCGAGAATGGCTAACATGTTGTGTTTGTTTTTCCTTTAGACGAAAGCAAATCTTGTAACACCAAGGAATGGAGAACCACTGATTGCTGCTATTCAGGACTTTCTAACAGGTGTGTTTATGAATTCACTTGAGAGGAGACTATGGAACACTAGGATTCTCATTCACAGTGATTCATGTAACAACTTGAGAAGCGATTTAATTTCATGTGTTTAATTCTGTTGTTTACTATGTTTGATTCTGAATCTGCTTGAGACATTTTGGATTGGCTGGTTATTCATTGAATCAGTAAGCATTTGAATTCATTGAATCAGTAAGCTCCTGACGTGCACTAGACAGTTTTCTAAGCACTGGAGATAGGACAGTGAGTCAAAGTCCCTTGTGGAGCTTAGATTCTAGTGGAAGAGGGAGCCAGCAAGCAGCTATAGGTTTTAACTCACTCCTTAGCAATATTCCAGATTCCTTTTAAAATCGAAACCTTTTGGGGCACCTGGGTGGCTCAGTCATTTAGGCGTCTGACTTCGGCTCAGGTCATGATCTCACAGTTTGTGAGTTTGAGCCCCACGTTGGGTTCTGTACTGACAGCTCAGTGCCTGGAGCCTGCTTCTGATTATGTCTCCCTCTCTCTCTCTCTGCCCCTTGCCCTGCTTGTGCCTCCCCCCCCCCCCAAAAAATAAACTTTTTTAAGGTAAAAAAAAATAAAATTGAAACCTTGTAATTGTCTCGCACATTCACTCCATTTCTTTTTGTGGTGTTTGCAACATTCATAGGTGCCTATCTCCTCACTCTTAAGGACACTTTCTTTGACCGAGCCAAGGCCTGCCAAATCATTGCTTCAATATTAGTTGGCAAGGACGAGAAAATTAAAGTTCGCCTCCCACCACCTACAATATTAAAGGTTTGTGCTGGGAGCACCCGGGTGGCTCAGTCGGTTAAACATCTTACTCTTGGTTTCTGCTCGGGTCATGATCTCATAGTTTATGAGATCAAGCCCTGCCTCAGGCTCTGCACTGAGAGTGCAAAGCCTGCTTGGGATTCTTTCTCCCCTCTCTCTGTCCCTTCCCCATGTGTACGCATGCATTTTCTTTCTCTCTCTATGCAAATAACTATACATTTAAGACAGTAAAGCTTTGTGCGGGAGCCAGGCATGCCGGGTACAGGTTTGCATGTGAGTACTCTGCAGACCAGGCTCAGCCAGCTGACATTGTGACTTTCTTCCTCCTTCAGCCTGTCACCCTGTGGACAGGAAAGCAGATATTCAGCGTCATCCTCAGACCTAGTGATGACAATCCAGTAAGGGCCAATCTCCGAACCAAGGGAAAGCAGTACTGTGGCAAAGGAGAAGATCTCTGTGTCAACGATTCCTGTGAGTCAAAGCAGCGGGGTGGGAGCAGGCAGAAAGCAGGTGGCCAATGACTGCCTTCACTCAGCAAGCAAATGCAATGTTTCTCTTAGGCAGGAAGTTTATTCTTTAGGGAAGTGTAGTTGGTATGTTTCCTCAGCTGTGATTCCCCATTTCTCTAAAAAGTAGAGATCATGTAGATACATGATCCAGTGATTAGAATGTTCCTCTCTGCATGTGTTTTAGATGACTAGTGTCTGTAAATTAATGCAATTTCTTTTATTCTGCCCCCCCCCTTTTTTGCCATAAGAAAGTATCTCATCATATGAGGCATATAATTTATCATTTTATGTCCAAAAAATGTGTTCATTGTCTAAAAGTATAATGGGACTATTTTTCTATCGCCTCCTGGTCAGCTTGTTTCTTATAACACGAAGATCAGGTGTAACCACAAGAGGATATAAATGTTAAACCATCTGAGTCATCCAGACTAATTCAACCCAAAGTATAGTCCACAGACCAGTGCCTTTCAGCCAGCGTTTCCTTTCTGACGCGAGCCTCCTTGCTCACCCCAGACTGCTAACCGGCAGCTCCCCAGCAGGCTCCTCTGAATGGCACTGACTTTGAATGGGCTTTGCTAGCAAGGTCTTGTGACAAGAAATGGATCTCCAGGACTCTGTGCTGAAGAACTGAACCACAGAGTCTCTGAAGGTCAAGATTCCTGTTTTGTGATGAAGAGTAAATGTGTTGAAGGGCACCGATTTTTCTCCGGGTTAGAGCCTTTGATTTGAAAACACACCTCTGGTCTTTCAGGTGTTTTGGCTTCCTTGTTTTAGATTGTATTTTGTTTCTTCTCCATGTAATTCCATTTTGTTGTATAGGCTCTTCATGGTGGTGTCATCAGTTTTCATCATCTTGGGGGAATAACAAAGTGCTTTACAGCTTATGGAGTAGTATGTGGCATGTGATTTCATCAGATGCTCACAACATCCCTGTGACACAGGATAAGTGCTCGGTGCTGTCACTTATAGTTCACAGTTGAAAATGAGGGTCCTGTAGTACTTTTCAGAGTTAGGACTGTAAGGTAAACCACTGGGCTTTTCATGCTTTTCAAAAGTCCCTAGATTTCTCTCTTTTTCCCCTCAAAAAATTTTGAGAGAATTTTGCTTTGCTTTGCTTTAATTTTCATAATGGGAGCATGCTTTCTCCACTGCCCCACGTTGGAACGAGGCTGAGTAGTAAGTAATTGTTCAAGTGCCCAATCTTTGCTGTCCTTGCAGACGTTACCATCCAGAACAGTGAGTTGATGAGCGGCAGCATGGACAAGGGAACGTTGGGATCAGGATCGAAGAACAATATTTTTTACATTTTGCTGCGAGACTGGGGGCAGAACGAAGCTGCCGATGCAATGTCACGGCTTGCCAGGCTGGCTCCTGTCTACCTCTGTGAGTATCTCCAGCGTCCTCAGCGTATGGTGGTGGTTGCTCGGGTTTCAGGGCTGTGCGTTAGTTTGTTCTTTTACCTTTGTTTCCTTCCCCCAGCCCCCACGTGCCACACATATACCCGCACACAGGAAAGGAGACTTACTCCAGGCTGAATCATTTGGGACTTACAGAATGGGATCAGCTCAGTACTGACTTGCCTGGTTTCAGATTTGAACTTGCTCTTGAATTCTTGTCTCAAAATGCCCAGTAGCTCCAAGATGCCAGTCAGACAGGGTTGTTAGACAAGGGCCCTCCGCAGGCTGCTTCCAAGGTACCTGCGCTCCACCTATGGCCCTCTGGGCCCTCACAGCTCAGCTGTGCTGGGTTACTCTGTGTTTCCCTTCTCTCCTTGCACTGTTCTGTTTCCTTTGTTGGCCCATCTCTGAGCATGCCATACATGCAGGTTTTTACGTGCCCAAAAACGTTTCATTTCTACCCTTACACTTGATCGATTGTTTGGCTGGGTATAGAGCTCTGGATTGAATTTTATTTTTCGTCAGAATTTTGAAGGTACTGCTCTACTCTACAGAGTTGCTGTGAAAGTGTATTTCTATTCTTATTTTCAACTTTTGTATGTGTCTTCATTTTGGAAGCTTTGCAAATCCTCTTTGTTCTGGAAGTTCACACTGTAGACGCTTGGTATGAGTCTTTTTTTCATTCATTGTGTTGGGCACTCTGTAAGCTCTCTTAATCTGCCTCCGTGTGTCCTTTGGTTGTGGAAATTTTGTTTTTGTTTGATAATTTTCTCACCTTAACTTTCTCTGTTCTTTTTGGAATTTTTGTTCATTTTGTAAGTAGAGCTTCTAGATTGACTCTATGATTTTTCTTACCTTCTTTTCTCTGTTGTCCATTTCTTTGTTTCTGGATTCACTTTATCTTTTTTTTTTTTTTTTTTTTAATGTTTATTTATTTGGGTGGGGGAAGAGGCAGAGAGAGGGAGAAAGAGAATCCCAAGCAGGCTCCAACACTGTCAGCAAAGAGCCCAGTAGGGGGGATTCAATCCCATGAACCGTGAGATCATGACCTGAGCTGAAAGCAAGAGTCAGGACATTTAACCGACTGAGCAAGCCAGGTGCCTCTCAGTTTAACTTTTAAAAATGATTTCCTAGAGGGGCACCTGGGTGGCTTAGTCAATTAAGTGACCAACTTCGGCTCAGGTCATGATCTCACAGTTTGTGAGTTTGAGCCCCACATTGGGCTCTGCTGACAGCTCAGAGCCTGGAGCCTGCTTTGGATTCTGTGTCTCCCTCTCTCTCTGCCCCTCCCCTGCTCGTGCTCTGTTTTTCTCTCTCTCAAAAATAAATAAAAAACATTAAAAAAAAATTAGGGGGTGCCTGGGTGGCTCAGTCAGTTGAGTGGGCCAACTTCAGCTCAGGTAATGATCTCATGGTCCGTGAGTTCAAGCCCCACGTTGGGCTCTGTGCTGACAGCTCAGATCCTGGAGCCTGCTTCAGATTCTGGGTCTCCCTCTCTCTCTGCCCCTCCCCCACTCACACCTCTCTCTCTCTCTTTCTCTCTCAAAAGTAAATACATAAATAAAAAATTAAAAGTGAGTTCCTCGGGGCACCTGGGTGGCTCAGTTGGTTATGCATCCAACTCTTGGTTTTGGTTCAGGTCATGATCTTACAGTTCATGAGTTCCCCCTGGGCTCTGTGCTGACATTGCAGAGCCTGCTTGGGATTCTTCTCTCCTCCCCTCAGTTGCTCTCTGCCCCTCCCCCATTCATGTTCTCGCTCTCAAAAATAAAGTTAAAAAAAATTTTAAGTGAATTCCTCTATTGATTTTTTTTTTTTTTAACTGTCATTTATTTCACTTCCAACTATATTTTCCATGTTTCTTATTTGCAGGTAGATTTTGATTTTTGGGTTTGTTTTTTTGTTTGAAGACTTCCTGTTCTTGATCTCCAGATCAAGATTCTCTATCATAGAGACAATGTTTTTCATAGATTTATCTGAAAATTCTCCCTGAATTTTCTCTTTAGTCTTGTTTTTCTGTGCATTTGTTGTCTTTAGTCTTTCATGTTGAAGACTTTCCTCAGAGGTCTGGTGGTCCCAGGGGCGCTTGGTTGGCTCAGTTGGTTAAGCGTCAGACTTTGGCTCAGGTCATGGTCTCACATTTTGTCAGTTCGAGCCCTGCGTCGGACTCTGTGCTGATAGCTCGGAGCTTGGAGCCTGCTTCAGATTTTGTCTCCTTCTCTCTGCTCCTCCCCCACTTGTGGTCTGTCTGTCTCTCTCTCTCTCTGTCTCTCTCAAAAACAAATAAACGTTAAGTTTTTTTTTTTTAATCTGGTGGTCCCTGGCTATCCATTCATATTTTGGGGAGCGAGACACCAAACACCGATTGGAAATGGATGGAGCCTGTTGGTTGATGGACTTCTCAGTCCCTTGATTGAGCTGCAAGGCAACATTTTCATTGAGGAACTACCAAATAGCCCTGTCAGTAATACTTTTCTCTAGGGAGGCTTGGTTTCTCCGGGAACATATCTTCCGCTCTCAGTCTCCCACCCAAAGTTGAAACCTGCTTCTCAGGATTCTGGGATGTGGCCAGGGAAAGGGACTAAGGAATCACAGTCATGGTATATACAGACCTCATGCCCTGCTTTACAGTCCTCCCTCTCTGTTTGCACTTAGGATCCCTCAGTCTAGAGCTCTCTAATTCCGTATACTGGGACATAAACTCTCATCTTCCACAGGAAAATACTGGTTTTCCATCAGGTTTCCTTATCACCAACACATACGTTGTCTCCAGCATCTGCAGAAGCTGGCAGTATAGTTTCTGAGCATTTCCAGACTCATGGGTCCTCATTTCCACAGCCACTCTTAGGTGTCCCTTCCCCACCCTGCTAAGCCAGGTGCCTCTCATCCACCCATTTTCTACATATGTTAGCGTTGGGATTATTGACCATGTGTAGTTCCCTCAAAGGTGGGGTTTTTCTGTGTTTGGGGAGGATTTCTGAAGAAGGAAGGGGGTGTGGGCAGAAAGGTATCTGAGATGATGTCTTAGAACAAGAAGTCAGATGGCTCGCTTTCCATTGCTGACTTTGTCCAGCTGCTCTTTGGTATTTAATATTGGCCTGCTGTATATCATAGTTAGTTGGGGACAGTACTTGCTCCCCACTGGGTTGTAACGTCTCTGACAGGATTCAGTGAGTCTTGGTCATTTTGATGTAACTCTCTACAGACTGATACATTTTTATTTAATTGGGTCATGATATATTCTCTCAAGGTATAAACTGGTTTGTATATAGTGAGTTGACTAACATCCATGGCACTCTCTTTCTGCTCTACCTGCCGACTATTCTGCAGCAAACCGTGGATTCTCCATCGGGATTGGTGACGTCACACCTGGTCAAGGGCTGCTAAAGGCCAAGTATGAGTTGCTGAATGCTGGCTATAAAAAATGTGATGAATACATTGAAGCCCTAAACACAGGAAAGCTGCAGCAGCAGCCTGGTTGCACCGCTGAGGAGACTCTAGAGGTGAGTCTGCTCCTCGGGTGGGTTAGCCACTTCATGCCCACAGGGCTGTGCTGCAAGCCTGAAGAGAAGGTAGCAGAAGGGAGGGGGAAGTAAAGGCCGTGCCTTTAGCCCCAGGTCAGCCCTGTGCGGCGTGTGTGTTCTCGTTTAACAAGGGGAGGGCCTTCAATCGGATCCTTTACATCCCTAGCAGCTTTCACGTTCTAGGTGGTGAAAACAGGGCTATCTGTTCACTTGACCACATGGGGCTGCTCTTGTTCCAGCGTCACACTTAGGCCCCTTCTGTAACTGGTACTCACATGCTTGTGCCCTTTCTATTTCTAGCATCTTTGGAGTAGAGACTGGCAACCACAGCTCTTTAAACGGATGGTCTTTGAAGGAGCACCTAGCTGGTTCAGTCGGTAGAGCGTGCAGCTCTTGATCTCAGGGTTGTAGGTTTGAGCCCCATATTGGATATAGAGATTACTTAAAAATCAAATCTTTAAAAAAATAAAACTCAATGGATGGTCTTCAAAAGAGACTGGGGCACAGAAGAGGGAAAATTCATATCACATGCCTATCTGCTTCCCCTGTCACATTAGAAACTAGGTTAGCTGAGAACGTGCCGAGCAAGGGTCAGAATCAGAATGAGGACCAGCCTCTGGGAGCTCTGCATTCTCTCAGGCAGCCTGGGTCGGCAGTCTGACTGCACCAGGATTTCACCTGGCTTTCTTCTGTCTCCCCTGCAGCCCATGGCTCAGAGCTGTAACTCACCTAAGTGTGGAAAAATGGATAAGCAATAAGAAATTTTCTGATGACATGAATTTTTTGTGAAATAGGAAGAAAGCAGAGTTGTAGGCACCATTCACCATTAGCTCATTCTTAATCTCACTGAGTCTTTTAATTTATTTTTTTACTTTTTAAATCCCAGTTAGCTAGCATATAGTGTAGTAATGATTTCAGTCATAGAATTTAGTGATTCATCACTTACATGAAAACCCAGTGCTCATCCCAACAAGTACCCTCCTTAATGTTCATCACCCATTTAGCCCATCCCCCCACCCAATACCCCACCAGCAACCCTCAGTTTGTTCTCTGTATTTAAGTCTCTTATAGTTTGTCTCCCTCACTCTACTTATCTTATTTTTGCTTCCCTTCGCCTATGTTTATCTGTTTTGTTTCTTAAATTCCAAATGAGTGACATCATACGATTTTTATCTTTCTCTGACTTATTTCACTTAGCATAATACACTCGAGTTCCATCCACATTGTCGCAAATGGCAAAGATTTCATTCTTTTTGATTGCCAAGTAATTTTCCATCGTGTATGTGTATGTGTGTGTGTATACATACACACACACATACATATACACCACATCTTTATCCAGTCATCAGTCGATGGACGTTTGGGCTTTCCATACTTTGACTATTGTCAGTAGTGCTGCAATAAACATTGGGGTGCATGTGCCCCTTCGAATCAGCATTTTTGTATCCTTTGGATAAATACTTAGTAGTGCATTTGCTGGATTGTAGGGTAGTTCTATTTTTAATTTTTTAGGAACCTCCATACTGTTTTCCAGAGTGACTGCACCAGTTTGCATTCCCATCAACAGTGCAAAAGCAGTTCCCCTTTCTCTGCATCCTCGCTAACATCTGTTGTTTCCCGAGTTGTTAATTTTAGCCATTCTGACAGGTGTGAGGTGGTATCTCATTGTGGTTTTGATTTGTATTTTCTTGATGATGAGTGATGTTGAGCTTCTTTTCATGTGTCTGTTAGCTATCTGGATGTCTTCTTTGGAAAAGTGTCTATTCATTTCTTTTGCCCATTTCTTCCCTGGATTATTTGTTTTTTGGTATTGAATTTGATAAGTTCTTTATAGATTTTGGATACTAACCCTTTATCTGGTATGCCATTTGGAAATAATCTTCTCCCATTCCTTTAGTTGCCTTCAGTTGCTCATTCCTTCAGTTTTGCTGATTGTTTCCTTCACTGTGCAGAAGATTTTTATCTTGATGAGGTCCCGGTAGTTCATTTTTGCTTTTGTTTACCTTGCCTTTATCAAGTAAGAAGTTGCTGCGGCTGAGGTCTTTTGCCTGTTTTCTCCTCTAGGATTTTGATGGCTTCTTGTCTTATTTTTAGGTCTTTCATCCATTTTGAGTTTGTGTTTGTGTATGGTAAGAAAGTGGTCTGCATTCATTCTTCTGCATGTTGCTGTCCAGTGTTCCCAACACTATTTGTTGAAGAGATTGTCTTTATTCCATTGGATATTCTTTCCTGCTTTGTCAAAGATTAGTTGGCCATACATTTGTGGTCCACTTCTGGGTTGTCTGTTCTGTTCCATTGATCTATGTGTCTGTTTTTGTGCCAGTACCATATGATTACAGCTTTGTAATATAGTCCGAAGTCCAGAATTGTGATGCCCCCAGCTTTGGTTTTCTTTTTCAACATTACTTTTACTATTCGGGGTCTTTTCTGGTTCCATACAAATTTTAGAATTGTTTGTTCTAGCTCTGTGAAGAATGCTGGTGTTATTTTGATAGGAACTGCATTGAACATGTGGATTGCTTTGGATAGTATTGACAGTTTAACAATATTTGTTTTTCTGATCCATGAGCATGGAATGTTTTTCCAAAAAGGAAAATTGTCAGAATTGTCTTCTTCAATTTCTTTCATAAGTTTCCTATAGTTTTCAACGTGTAGATCTTTCACTTCTTTGGTTAGGTTTATCCCTAGGTATTTTATGGGTTTTGGTGCAATTGCAATGAGAGCAAGTCCTCTTTCTGCTGCTTCATTACTGGTGTATAGAAATGCAACCAATTTCTGTGAATTGATTTTATATCCTGCGACTTTGCTGAATTCATGTTATCAGTTCTAGCAGTTTTTTGATTAATCTCTCTGAGTCTTGAGAGAGAGAGAGAGAAATGGATGTTCCTCACTGGCACTTACCTAGGAATTTACTTGAGGCTCCAGCAGCATTTGTTTTTAGTGGAACCATGACTCGTAACTGATTTAGCACCCTCTCTGTGAGCTGAGAAAGGACACCTTGTGGGTGAGCTCATGGACTAGAATATTCCTGTAGAGTCACCTCATCACATGCTTAACTTGTGGGAGTTCACATGTGTGCTTGGAAAGTAAAAATAAGAGGTAAATTTTAGAATTAGCATAAACAGTTTTCCATTACTACATACTACACGGTAGCTTCTGTTCCTAAGTGTATTTGGGCCTACGTGTGCATGTACAGTTGATATGTATACAGACATATTGTAGAGGATGCTATACACATGCTATATACTTTCTGCCTTAGGGGCCATTTAAAGGATTTTTCAAGACTTTGTTACTAATCATTTTTACCTTAAACACTGATTTGGAACCTTTCCGTCCTCATGGAAGGTTAGGGTCTTTATAGATAAGGCATATTGATCTTCAAAAGCTCGAAACCCTTTCTCTATTGGAAATCTGACATCTGGCTTAAATTTTGTCAGATTTCATTAAATGTCAGGTTGAAAAAATAAATAAATAAAATAATAAAATAAAATAAAATAAATGTCGGGTTGAATGTTGGTAATCAGCAGAGTCCTCATGCACCTCGCTTTTTCCCTCCAGGCTCTGATCCTGAAGGAGCTGTCTGTGATCCGCGACCACGCGGGCAGTGCCTGCCTCCGGGAACTGGATAAGAGCAATAGCCCACTCACCATGGCTCTGTGTGGCTCCAAAGGTGTGCGCTCCTCCACCCACTGCCCTCATTGCATTCTCTGTATGGGTTGACAGGTTTTCTCCCAGAAAATGCAGGAGTAATTTCAGACCGTTCATTTATAAGGGTATGCCTTGGGGCACCTGGGTGGTCTGTTGGTTAAGCATCCGACTCTTGGTTTCGGCTGAAGTCCTGATCCTTGAGGTTTGTAAGTCAGAGCCCCGTGTCCGGCTCCATGCTCTTAGCACAGAGTCTGCCTGGGATTCTCTCTTTCCTCTCTCTCTACCCCTACCCCACTCGTGTCCTCTGTCTCTCTCGAAAAATAAATATATGTATATTTAATATATAAATATGTACATATTAAAAAATATATATAAAGGCATATTTTTTTTATTAAAAATTTTTTTTAATGTATATTTATTTTTGAGAGAGAGGAGACACAAAGTCTGAAGCAGGCTCCAGGCTCTGAGCTGTCAGCACAGAGCCCGACATGGGACTCGAACCCATGAGCCGTGAGATAATGACCTGAGCTGAAGTTGGCCGCTCAATCAACTGAGCCACTCAGGTGCCCCAGAGCATATCTTTTTAAATCCTATGTATTGAAAGAGACTTAATTATTTACATCTTAGACATTTAACTCTTATTTTTTTTTAATTTTTTTAAATTATTTTTTTTAACGCTTATTATTGAGAGACAGAGAGACACAGAGCGTGAGCAGGGGAGGGGTAGAGAGAGGGGGAGACACAGAATCCAAAGTAGGCTCGAGGCTCTGAGCTGTTAGCACAGAGCCCGACGCAGGGCTCAAACTCACAAACTGCGAGATCATGACGTGAGCCGAAGTCGGTCACCCAACCAACTGAGCCACCCAGGCGCCCCCCTATTTTTTTTTTAATTTTTTTAACGTTTACTTAATTTTTGAGAGACAGAGACAGAGCATTAGCAGGGGAGGGGCAGAGAGAGAGGGAGACACAGAATTCAAAGTAGGCTCCAGGCTCTGAGCCCATGTCGTGCTTTGTGCTAACAGCTCGGAGCCTGGAGCCTGCTTCAGATTCTGTGTCTCCCTCTGTCTCTGATCCTCCCCCATTCATGCTCTGTCTGTCTCTGTCTCAAAAATAAATAGATGTTAAAAAAATAAAAATTAAAAAAATAATAAAAATTTAAAAAGCTTTCTAAATTAATGTATTTAGTGATATGGTAAATGCTTTAATTTCATAGTTGTGTAGGACCTAAAGCGTTAAGTTTCATGGTACTGCATTCAGATTCAAAACCTCCATGCTTCTATTTCTGTAAATTTTTTTGGCAGAATAAAGTCCAACTTTGCTGCTTCCCTCCCGCCCCCTGCAGTGTTCACCTTCCTGCTCCTGGTGAGCATGCCCCCCACTTTCCCATTCCTGTGTCTTTGCTTCCCACTTTTCCACTTTCTTTGGAATTTCTCCCCTCATCCCTTCTTATATCCACATTGTAATGTCCTCCACAAGTTCAGCCTGGTGGCAGACTCTTCCCTGCAAGTCTTTGCTCCAGCCCCAAAGTGCTTACACTCCCTGCTGAGCCCTGCAGCTCTCCCTCCGCTTTTGTTCTGTTGCTGAGGGCTCCACCCTGTATTATTCTCGTTCTGGCTCTTACTGTCCCTAGACTGGGAGCCTGCGCTGTCATATTCCTGTTTTATCCCACGGATCTTCTTGTGCTTAATTAACGTGGTTCGGTAAACAAATGTTACATTCCTGACCTGTTTCCCCAGGTTCTTTCATTAACATATCACAGATGATTGCCTGTGTAGGACAGCAAGCCATCAGTGGCTCTCGAGTGCCAGATGGCTTTGAAAACAGGTCCTTGCCTCACTTTGAAAAACACTCAAAGGTAAGTAGTAGTGGTTAAGACAGAACTTTGGAGGGCAACCGTGGGGAGTGCGGAAGAGTATTGGGAGCCCTGTGCTGCCAGCGCTCCCAGAGGGGGCGTGTGTGGGTGGGCTCCTCTGGGGCCTTCCCTCTCCAACCCCTACAGAGTCGTGTGGGAGCCTTGTTAGATTTGCTGCTACCAAACTTGATCAATGCCCTCTTGTTTTCTCTCCAAGAGGGAGGATTTCAAGGTCCTTTCCAATAATCAAAATCTATAGATACCTCATGTCTGATCAATGTGTGATTATGGGAACACTGACATCAAAGTATGGGGATTTTAAAATAGTGATAATATGAACCACACTAAAACGACCAGGAAAGTCCAGATTTTCCTCTCGACTTCTCAAACTCGGTTTTTAAATGACCTCTGGGTTTCAGTGGTGCTGGTGGTTTGGGCACTGGTATAAGCAGAAATAGACAAATCTGTGCTAGGCTTCTTCTGGGACTCAGGACAGACAACTTTTAAGTCTAGGTGAGGAACTTAGAGTAGGTTTGGTCACTCAGCTTCTGGATTTGGAATCAGCTCTTATTCCCATTAAAGCACAGATACTGCAGCTGCTCTTATTCTATGGGACTGTGGGGTTTCTGAACAGCCACCCCCCCCCCCCTCCCGGGGAGACAGGACTGCTGTACTGGGAATGTGTAGGTATTTTCTGTATCATACAGTCTGAGGAACATTTTAGGGACTCTGTCCAAGATCAGAATTCACTAGAAGTCAGAGAGCCAAGTGGTCACTGGAATGGTGCCCATCTGTGCATGTCAGGCTCAGAGTTCTAAGGGAGCCTGACACATTTAAAGGGGAGGCTGGGGGCATTCAAACTGCTTGGTCGACTTGCCTGCCACTGGCACCAGCACCAGCACCTGCCCTGCCTGGGAGCTCACCCTCCTTGTCTCTGGGAAGGATGGTTTATGCCAAGTTCTTTCTCCTTTCAGAAAGGGCGTGTAAAGTCTGCCCCTTCATAAGCGTGCATTGGCCAGGTATTTATAGTCTAAAGGTGGGGCATTTTGTGATTTGAGTGAGGTTTGAAGTTGTGGACCTTGAAGGTTTTTTGTCTGGCTTTTCTTTTTTCCCCACCTCTCTTTAGCTCCCAGCTGCCAAAGGCTTTGTGGCTAATAGCTTTTATTCCGGTTTGACACCGACCGAGTTTTTCTTCCACACAATGGCTGGCCGGGAAGGTCTAGTCGACACAGCCGTAAAGACTGCTGAAACGGGATACATGCAGGTAATTTGAAGAAATGTAGGCCATTAGCGGCAGAGCAGGACAGGGTTCCGAGGATTTTGACTGCTGAGTGTTTACATATTTTTTACATGAACTGTCACATATCGAGTCTTAGTATTTAAAAAGAATAATTGGGAAATGCGGGAGCCCTGGAAATAAACAGCATAAAAAAGTAATATGTTCACTTCATCCCTTATGCCTTAAGTGATTCAGACCAGGCCAGGGCCACACTCACCAAAGCTGTACTGAGAACGTGGACTGGAAGTGTATCTGGGGACACGTTACTGAGCCTCACTGGGCCTCTGTTTCCTAATCCATGAAGATATGGATGACAGTACCTACGTCCCAATGATTGAGAGGACTCTGCTTCTCACTTGGCAACTATTTTTTTTTTTTTCAACGTTTTTATTTATTTTTGGGACAGAGAGAGACAGAGCATGAACGGGGGAGGGGCAGAGAGAGAGGGAGACACAGAATCGGAAACAGGCTCCAGGCTCTGAGCCATCAGCCCAGAGCCCGATGCGGGGCTCGAACTCACGGACCGCGAGATCGTGACCTGGCTGAAGTCGGACGCTTAACCGACTGCGCCACCCAGGCGCCCCACACTTGGCAACTATTTATGTAGCCTCTTGTTTTTTAATTTTAACTGACTCCAAGAACTTACTCCAGTGCCTGCAGGAGGTCTTGGACACTTGGAGGGATGGCTGTCCATCATATGTGCAGCTCCAGGACAGTAGGCTCAGGGTGACAGGATGAAACTAGAGGGCTTCCTGTTCCCATGCTTCTCAGACCGCCATAAAAATATCCCTAATGGCAGACAAGTAAGAACACATCCCGACTTCATTCTTCCTTATATAAGACCACAAGCAGAGGATTTCATTTCATTCCCTGATTATCATTTTCTCCTCTGTCTTCCATGACCTGTGTTTGCTTTTATATTTTTTCAATGTTCCTGTCTCCTTATAACATCAGATAAAGTCAAATCTCCCAGTTGCTAGGCTGTGAACTTGCTGTGGCTTTGAGTCCCCTTTGTCCCACTGTGGATCCCAGTTTAAGAAGCACAGCCCTTTGCAGGCTGGGAAAGCAGAACTGATCAACCAGAGGTGTGAATAAGACAGGCAGAGCAAACAAGGTTGATGAAGGTGAGAGCAGACTGGAGTCCATAGAAATAGCTATTTCCATAAATATGTGTGTGTCCTCATCAATACTTCCCCTTTTCATCACGTTTTGATGGGAAATTGCCCTTCAGTTTTGGAGTGTGCTGCTTTTGTCAAAAACCCAACAGACTGTGAAATGCTTTTACCACTCTTGCCAGAATGTCTTTTGACTGTATTTTTTGACTTTACCTTTTTGAAGTAGAGAGTATGACTTTCCCAGAGCAGTGTGTTAACTTAGAACAAATTAGTTCTGGCACGAGGGATTTTTGTTTTGAGGTTGCCTGGAGGAAGATTTCTTTTCTCTTTAATTCATTGCACCACCATCACACTGCTGGCTGGAGCATTCTACTGGTGGAAGGTTCTCCCTAAGCAGATGTGAGAAATGGCTGCTGCCTGCTGGTTCAGACACAATGCCATCCCTGTTCTCTTTTCTTCCCCCTGGGTCCCAGAAGGGGGTATGCACCTGAGATCCTCTGTAATTCATATTGAAGTCCACCCACAGGGGTCCTGGATTCAGTTGTGTTTAGAAATGTAAAGCTGTTGCATTAATTTATACCTTAGGGAGAAAGAGAGGGAAGGGGCAAAAGGGCCTAGGAAAACAGTTAGTGTTTACAGAATCCTTTGGGGGTGATGGGCCTTAAATTACATGTATTCAAAAACACACTAAAGCACTCGAGGTTGGGCATATTCTGAATCCCACTGCACAGGCTTACGGGTCACTTCTGGGCTTGCTGTTCCAAAGGGCCAGGGGACTCTTTTTTAAGGGATTTCTAATAAAATATTTTAAATGATGAAAGTGCTGGTAACCTTGAAAGTTAGCATTGCAGAGCTCATCCCCTGCACACGTGACTGGCCTTCTCAAAGCAGCTGAGCGTTTGTTTCCTCTCCTCCTCTTCCTTCAGAGAAGGCTTGTCAAGTCCCTTGAAGATCTTTGCTCACAATACGATCTGACAGTCCGAAGCTCTACGGGTGATATTATCCAGTTCATTTACGGGGGAGATGGCTTGGATCCTGCAGCTATGGAGGGAAAAGATGAACCTTTAGAGTTCAAAAGGGTTCTGGACAACATCAAAGTAAGATTTAGCATTATATCTGGGGTTAGAGTGTTTCCAAGGACGTGTGTTTACAATAGAGGCATCCTTTGGAGTATCACACACAGTTAATACTCGAGTTATATCTATCCAGCCACCGGTAGTATTTTTCATCTTGTGTTACCCTGCATAATTTCCCCAAATTTGAAGGAAAAATATTTTTTCAATTTCAAAGTCTAGTACTGGTAGTAATCCAATGCCAACAGAAGAGGGCTTTGTTTTCTATCTAGTGAAGCATGTTACCGGCCAGTGTTAAAAGTCGTGGGTGTTGTCGGGGCGCCTGGGTGGCGCAGTCGGTTAAGCGTCCGACTTCAGCCAGCTCACGATCTCACGGTCCGTGAGTTCGAGCCCCGCGTCAGGCTCTGGGCTGATGGCTCGGAGCCTGGAGCCTGTTTCCGATTCTGTGTCTCCCTCTCTCTCTGCCCCTCCCCCGTTCATGCTCTGTCTCTGTCTGTCCCATAAATAAATAAAAACGTTGAAAAAAAAATTAAAAAAAAAAAAGTCGTGGGTGTTGAGAAGCAAGCTTTAAGCTTTTACTAAAGCACATGCTTTAACTAGGGGTATATTTTTAAAAACCTTTTTGAAAGGTAGTTTGACAATACTAATCTGAATTTATATGTGGGTGTCTTTTGACCCAGGAATTCCACTTATAGGAATTTGCCCAACAGAGATGACTTAAATGTACCAAGAATGTTTTTCTAGCACCTTTTGCCCATATATTAGGGTAATATGCAGCCTTTAAAACTTTGTGGGACTCCCATGAGCTTTGGGGTAGGGGAGTAGTTTCACTCCTGAAATGTTTGGGTTTTTTTTATATTTTTTTGTTGATTTTTTTTTATTTTTTATTTTTTTATTTTTTTAAAAAAACAGCGATACATAATTTCAATGCAAATCTGGGATGGGGTGAAGGTTGAGAAGTAATGGAACGGTACCCACTGAATCACTCACACTCACTCTTTATGTGAGATGGAGTGGGTTTATCCTGTCTTCAGAATATAAAATATGCTTTGAAAGAAAAAAAAATCATAGATTGGTGAGAAAAAATCATGCTCACTCTGAGAAAAGTCATTTTGTCTCTTGTAAATTCTTTCATTTAATCCTGCCCCACCCTCAGTCACCCCCATACACATCACACTATTTCCTTTTGATACTTGAGGCAGTCTTCCCGTGTCAGAGCGAGCCTGCGCTGAGTAAAAACGAGCTGGTCCTGACCACGGAGTCAATCATGAAGAAGACGGAGTTCCTCTGCTGCCAGGACAGCTTCCTGCAGGTGAGCTCTCTACTGGTGGGAGCACCCAGCTTGGTCATCAGCAAGAGATTGTTGTCCGGTGCCGGCAGATAGTTTTTATAAGCAAGGGGTGGGGGCCGTGGGGTGGAGTGTGTTAAAAGTGTTTTCTTTGTTAAAAATTTCAGGAATGGCCCAGGCAAACTCTCAGCAGCCGACATGAAGAATTCGTGTCATGTCCTTCTTAGTGTCTGTCTCTCACGCAGGTGTCACCCTGCTAGAAGAAAAATACTTCCTTTAGAGAACTATTGTTTTTTGTTGTTGTTCTTGTTTTTTAACCTTGTCCCCCTGTCAACCCCTTTACCTGCTGTCTCATCTTGCAGACCAGCTCTTCCCACAGTCATTGCGAATCCTGGTAACTTAAGACTTCATTTTTTTTTTTTAATTTTTATGTTTATTTATTTTTGAGAGATAGACAGAGCATGAGCAGGGGAGGGGCAGAGAGAGAGGGAGACATAGAATCCGAATAGGCTCCAGGCTCTGAGCTGTCAGCACTGAGCCCGACTTGGGGTTCGAACTCACAAACCGTGAGATCATGACCTGAGCTAAGTCAGAAGCTTAACCAACTGAGCTACCCAAGACTTCCATTTTTAAGTAATCTCTACACCCAACGCAAGGCTTGAACCCACACCCTGGATGTCAAGAGTCTCATGCTGTACTGCCTTAACCAGCCAGACACACCTGGTGGTGGTGGTATAAATTGCTCTTCCTGTTACCATAGTGTGGATCAGTAGTTCATGGAGTCAGCCAGCCTCCTTTTTCCAGAGAGCTGTTACCTTGATAACCTCTTAGGGCTTTGTTAGTTTATTGTTTTTTTGTTTTTTTTAATTTCACTGACCTGCTGGAGCAGCTCCTTCCTGTTTATTATCACGGTTATGATCAAAAGCAGAGGGATACAGAAGCCAGTAAATGGTTGCCTTTGTGTGCCAATGGGTGATTCAAATGCAGCACAAAATTGGCAGGAATCTATCCCTTTCAGTATATCAAAAATGACAACAGTCATGTGAAACTGAAAGAGTATTCTAGTCAAGTATGCCCTTGATTCTTTCTTTTCCTATGTTGAGGTGTGAAAGGCAAAAAAGAGACTTCCAGATTTCAGTAAGTTTAAATCCAGAGTATGGTTGGGCTGGGTGCCTTTGTTTGTGATTTTTCCCAAATTTTCATTTTTTTTTTTTTAACAAATTAGAATTGTGATTTGGTGTTTATGCATGATTATATTATATTCACCTCTTTACTATTCTGTTTATCCTCAAAGACCTTAACTGAGACAGGCTATGAGAAGTACAACGAGGTAACGTGCTGAGCATGCTGGGAGTGCTGAGCTTAAGGGGTGAACTTGGCAGCAGTCCGGCTGTTTGCCCGCCCCGGCGAGCTTCCGCCTCACTCCCGGCACAATCGGCTTCCCTGCTCATCACCCTGGCTCCCTTCTTGCCTTTTGCAGGGTTTTACGGGTGCCTCCCTGATCAGGAGTGTGTGCGTTTTCAGTGAGCACTCCTAGCCCTCAATATGTCACACGCCCTGCAGATCCCGGGGACACCCAGATGACTGTGTCCTTGCCCTCTGCGGGCTGACAGTCTAATGAGCTCAGGTCCAAAATCCACTGGCCGGAACCCGATTTATCTGAGGCCACGGAGGCCACTCCTGAGTGGCACGGAGCCCTGGCCGCCCCAGAGGCTGCTGCCGGTGCCCACAGTTGTGCTGCGGAGGGTGTGAAGACGTAACTGCCGCTTAACCGTGTGATTAATTGCCTGCCAGTTGCCGTGTTGTGAGTTCTCTTTTAGTATGCATGGGTTCATTCAGTTGAGTTCTTAGTAGCTTATTTCAGTTTTCATTTCTACAAAATGAGCCTTTTTTTTTTTTTAAACCTAACTTTCAGAATATCTGCCCTAACTTGTGTAAGGAAAGTCATTCCTTTCAGCAAAGCCGCTGGAAGCAATGTCCATTTGGGTGGTAGCTGAAAGACTCCTCTCCAGTGCCTAAGCTGAGCAATGGTTGTAGGTGTGTGTTCTTTTACTCCTGCGCGCAGAGTTCCTCACAGGTGAAAATCCATGGGTCTGCTCAGCCTTGGGCTCTCCTCCGGTTTCGCTGTGCCGGCAGGTGGGGCAGCCTTTAACAGCTGGCGCGAGATGACCACACCTGGACCGAGAGGGCTTTCAGGAGCTCTCCCTGAAGGCACACAAGCACAGCTAGACGAGTAGGCTGGGGGAGGAAATCACCAATGTGAGAGAGACTCTTCACGCTGAATGGCATAGCAGGAAGACGAGGCCGTAGCACCTACTCGTGCCTTTGCACGGTCCTGCCGTCGAGCAGAGCCATGCCAGCAGAGACGGTTCCAGTGCCCTCTCCGGTCTGGTTCCCTGCTCTAGTTTGCAGGAGCTGACTGTCTAAAGTGTAGTCTCAGACTCCCAGTTAGTGAGTAAATCTGGAGAGCTTGTTAAAGAGTTACTTAAATTTTTTTTTTTAAGTTCTTATAAATTGATAAAAGTCCTTTCTGAGTAGAATGACAGTGGGGCACAGTACCCCTCGTGTATTGCACGCTTGGTCGAGGAGAAGGAAGAGAGTTGGCGCACAGGAGCACTCGTTGTGAGGAAGCTGCATTCGTGAACGGGGGGGCAGCCAGAGGGCAGTGGATCTCTGGTAGCCCCTTGGTTAGCTGGGCTCCCAGTGGGCAGAGGTGGCACTGCAGAAACCGCTGGCCCAAGACCAGTCTTCAGAGAAAGCATCTGACTTCAGGGACAGGCCTGTTGCCTTGGCCAAGCCCATGACCCCCCAGAGCCCCTCAGGGCCCTCCACTCTAGCCTGTTAGGGTTAATGTCATACCACCTCACGGGGAGGTCTCAACTCCTGGGCAGCTGCTGACCGAGAAGGGCCCATGAGCCATGGACTGTGTGGATATAACCTAAGGCTATTTAAACATAACAACAGTAAGTGTTAGGGGGTTTTTGCTTTCAGAAAAGATAGTAAGAAATCGCCAGGTGGTCTGTGGGAAGCTAAAGAGATTAATTTTTGCAAGGTTATGATAAAACTGGGCTCTAGTAAGTGTTAAGCTCTCTGTGGGTCCCATAGGATTTTATCTTTGCAGAAGTAGGCTTCTGGTTCCATCTGCTTTAAAATACTTGTTTCAGACAAAACATTAGACATTTTCAGCTATGTGATACAGACTGAGTAGACTTTGGGTAGGACAGACTGGTCTCTCCTTAGGGTCCCTCAGCCTGCCTTATAATCAAGAAACAAGACTTCTTGAAGCTTTGCGGCCACCGCAATATGCAATCCACCCTCGGGCTGTCCATGTGTGTGGGTCTGTCCTCTGCCAGCCACACAGAGCAGCTGGGTGCCTGCACTGACATTCAAGAGTGACATTTAAGCTCACTGCCACCGTTACTTGTCCACGATCAGTGAGGGAAGTTACATTTCTAGGAGGGCTGCTGAGGGAAGTGCAGTCTGTCTACTCTCCCATATTCTCAAAAACGCCCCTGGATCAAACTAGAGCAGCTAATCACCAGCTCCCATGCCTGCATCACAGCCGCCTCTAAAGGATGGCTGCTGCATGGCGTGTGCCATCAACTCACCTGGGACCTGCCCTAAGAGTCAGCACTTGACATGTGAGCGCCTGGGAGCCGGACTTTGATGGGTGTAGCTCACTAAAGCTCACCACCCCTCTGTAAGTCCTCCTTGAGTGCTGGCCAGTCCTGCTTCCAGGAGTGACTACAGGGTGGATTTATTTCAGAGATACACCATAAATTGCAGAACAGATGGGTCTTCCCCTTTGAACGGTTGCCAGAAAAGTTAGGCCTGTGGCCGATAGCCCTGCCCTGTGCCTCCTCCACATGATGTCCTTGTCGCCTTCTTCCTTGTTCCATGTAGATCTCCTCCAGGGCTTTGAGTACTATTCTGAAATACAGAGGGGACAACAAATACACAGATGTTTCATTTCCAACTTTGCTTTCCAGGAATTCTTACAAAGTCCTAATTGTTGGGAAGGGAAAGTGACCCCGGGTGGGGGAGATGCAGAGGTGAGGGTCAGAGAGAGAAAGAGAGGCAGGGATTTGGGAGTGTTTTCTTTGAAATGAAGGCAGGCTGAAACCACGTGTTTGTGATGTATATACAGCATCTACAAAGCTATGCATTAGCTGCTACTTAAATTGATCATAAGTTCAGAAGAAAGCCTCAGAGTAAGTCTGCTTAGAGACTACAGGTTTGTTCTAGCCGTGCTGAGCTGTGTGAGTGCAGGTGATGGGAGAGCAGAGGAGAAGGCGACAGCGTGGGACGCGCTCCCCGTGCCAGGGTCTCGTGGAGCAGGCGCAGGGGGCGGAGCTACCCATCACGAAACCAGAGGACACCTGACATTATTGACGTTTGTAAAACAAACTGCCATCTAAGTTCCCGAGAAATACACAACTGATGCTTGCTGTGTAATCTTTCAGGAAATAAAAAAATTCATTAAGGGTGTTTCTGAGAAGATCAAGAAAACCAGAGACAAATACGGCATCAACGATAACGGCACAACAGAGGTAACGGGCGGCCTTCCCCGACCGGCTCAGGCACCCTCGTGGGCTCAGGTGCCACCAGCCTGACCCTGCACTCGGCCTCTGTCCTTCCAGCCCCGGGTGTTGTACCAGTTGGACCGGATCACCCCCACCCAGATTGAGAAGTTCCTGGAGACCTGCAGGGACAAGTACATGAGGTACGCATGCTAGTTTTCTCAGACTGCCAGGCAGTTGCATGGGCCTCCTGTCCTTCCTGTCTCCCCAGTGGAGCAAAATCCTGCGTCAGCACCACTTCCTGACTGTCAGCATCTGAGCAGGTTCTGTCCCCTCATCTCTTAGGGGCTCCGGTGGGGAGGTAGGCTGGATGCTGCAGGCGGTGGAAATAATCTCAAAGACATTTCCGAGTGTCCTCTCCCTGTGGAGTAACTATCGATATGTTTGGCGGGTACCAGCTGCTCTGTCCACCGTCGGCACCATGTGTCAGCAGGGCTCTTGGATCTTCTGCGGGCAGTCGATGTTTGGGCCCAGTCACCACATGCTGACCACAAGGAGCCAGTGGTCACTTCCGTTATCAGAGCCCCCTGACTGTCGTACCCCTTCCCCGCCTCCATCTGCACCTCCTGCCGACCTGTTGCAAGCACAGCCCAGCTCGTAGCGTATTCGCTCCTGACCCTGATGACACCTGCATTCTTGTCTGTGGAGGGAGGAGAGAAGCGGAGTCTCCTCCCAGCAGTTTTGCTGGGCTTTTCTTCCCTACCCTTCCCTTCTAGGGCACAGATGGAGCCGGGTTCTGCGGTGGGTGCACTCTGTGCCCAGAGCATTGGTGAACCAGGCACCCAGATGACCCTGAAGACTTTCCACTTTGCGGGCGTGGCCTCCATGAACATCACCCTGGGTGTGCCCCGGATCAAAGAGATCATCAACGCTTCCAAGGCCATCAGGTGCCCGCCCTCCGTTTCCCTTTTGTTCTCCTGCTGCCTGTCACACATTCTCTCATCACGTGTGATACTCTGATGGGCTGTGTGGTAAACTCTGGTGATAGGCTTGTGTTAATCAGATCTGGGGTTTTAAAAGACCCGCTTGAGAAAAGTCAAAATTAGATACAGTGAAAACTAAGGCAGTGGTTGCTTATGGCCACAAGTCACATGAAAGGGAGAAACAAAAAAAAAAAAAAAATGACTGGGAAAGCTATTAATATGTCCCTGTAGATTTCAACTGCAGATCTGATTATTCCCAGCCTAATCACGCCTGACAGTGAGTGTGTCACTTGACTATTGGCCATATTCTGTGACTCCCAGGTGATTTCGTGGTATGGCTTGTAGGTCATCTGAGACTAGAAAAAGATTAAAAACTGTCTCTCTCTGTCTCAAAAATAAATAAACATTAAAAAATTTTTAAGGGGCGCCTGGGTGGCGCAGTCGGTTAAGCGTCCGACTTCAGCCAGGTCACGATCTCGCGGTCCGTGAGTTCGAGCCCCGCGTCGGGCTCTGGGCTGATGGCTCAGAGCCTGGAGCCTGTTTCCGATTCTGTGTCTCCCTCTCTCTCTGCCCCTCCCCCGTTCATGCTCTGTCTCTCTCTGTCCCAAAAATAAATAAAAAACGTTGAAAAAAAAAATTAAAAAAAAAAAATACGTTACAGTGCATTGTGACAAAATCATGATTCACTCGCGCTCCACATCCAACAAAGGGATGACAGGTAGCATTCAACGAAGGAGCGCCACGCTTGGTTCTAGAGCAGCACCTGGAGGCGTCCAGGGTGGCAGGGGCTCTGCAGCCTCCCTGGGCGGCTCCAGTCTCTCCCAGGAGTGTGTTCGGGGGACGCCAGCCAGCACGTTCAGGGCACAGGCTGGTAGAGAGCGACTGGAAGAGTTGGAGACGTCCTGGAGAGGCGGTGGTGCGGGTAGGGCACAGCGATGGGAAGCTGTAATACACAAACACGAAGGGTCGGTTCACTCGGGGAGCAGAACCAGAATAACACCTGCGAGGACCAGAGAGGAAGACATAGGTTCACTTGGTCAGGAAGAACGTCCCAAAAACTGTCTCATTCACTGATAGAGTGGGTCGCGGCATGATTTCTAAAAATAGTAAGTCTGGGTGAGAATGTCTGTGAAGCCCCCAGTAAATGCCCCAGGAAATTGCAGTTGTGTTTAGTGTTAGGATCCGGTAGTGCCTGGATTTCACAGAGCAGCCATCTCCCGGCGGGCTCTCTCCTGCTGTAACCACTGTCCCCCTGCCTTTTCTCAGCACTCCCATCATCACAGCCCAGCTGGACAAGGACGACGACGCAGACTACGCTCGCCTCGTGAAGGGCAGAATTGAGAAAACCCTCTTGGGAGAGGTAAGAAGAAATCCCTCTTGGCAACAAGAACACTAGATCAGCAACGTTGTGAGCAGGCGTAAACACCAGTGGTGGGTGTACTGGTCATTGTGGCCATGCTGGCCTGTGTCCCTAACCACAAGCAGCGCATGCTCTTTGGAAAGGGAGAAGTGACTGTGTAACGTTCTGCTCTTTTGACATGACAGATTTCAGAGTATATTGAAGAAGTGTTTCTTCCGGATGATTGCTTTATCCTCGTCAAACTCTCCCTGGAACGGATCAGACTTCTGAGACTGGAAGTGAGTCACGTAATTAAATGTGGGCAGGAAGTCATCCTCCGTTAGTCCCAGGATGGGCGCCAGTAAACTGGGGCAGGAGCTAAGCGAGGCACGAGAAGCACTGCGGAGGCTTTATTTGGGTTTCTGCTCTGTAAGAGTCCATTGTACTTCTCTCTCTCTCTCTCTCTCTCTCTCTCTCTCTCTTTTTTTTCTTTTTAAGTTTATTATTTTGAGAGAGAGAGCACGAGTGGGGCAGGAGCAGAGAGAGAATGAGAGAAAAGCCTAAGCAGGCTGCCATCTTGGAGTCACATCTCACAAACCGTGGGATCGTGAGCTGAGCTGAAATCCAGAGTCAGACACACAACCGACTGAGCCACCCAGACCCTCCCCCCCTTTCTCCCTTTCTAAACCCGACCCTGACACACACACTCCCATCTAAAGACACGCAAGAAATTAGTTGAAATTTTATGAAGCCACGATACTTTTTCACTATAGCATAGTACTACGGACGGGGTCTGGCGGGAGCATAGGGCCACCCGTGTCTCACTCCTCTGTGGGCCCTCAGCACAGCGCCTGTCTGGCTCAGCGAATGTTCTTGGCTGGGTGGCTTACTCCGGCTTACTATTACTGGTGTTCCTGAATACATAAAGATTGAAAGAACATCAGCCTTTCTCACAGATCAGTTGAGGCAAGGTTGCAAACTGAGTAACTTCCTGGCACTTTCCTCTTCCTCCCAGGTAGTTAACATCCATACTGCCCTTAATACGTCGTTTCAGCCCATTCTCTCAAGTACCAAGTTTGTGTTGCCCGTAGTCTGTGATTCCAGATTTGAGTGCCCAGTTCCCCGGCCTGGGGGCTTCTGTAGCCTAGCTCGGGCCACCTGCCTTGTGGCTCTTCTACCAGAAGAGCTGGGTTGCATTGAGGAATGTGGCACATGAGCAGTTGTAGTGAGGTCAGTAAGGGGGAGGCTTCACTGACACTTTTAAATTGTCCTGCTCTCCAGCCCCCGCTCCCAGAACCTCAGAGCCTGTGTGTGTTGCTGTGAATTGACCATCCATTTTCAGTGGGGAAAAACGTTGGTTTGGGGATAAGGGGAGGTTGTGGAAAAAAAAATTACCTAACAAGGAAATACATAGTACATCTCATTTTAAAACTTCATGGTGAGAAGCAAGATTAGGGGGGAAAATGAGGTGGCTCACTGGGGGGCAGCGATGGGAAAAGGCCATTGAAGCCTCCACACACGTCAGTGACGTCCTGCGTGTGTGGCCCGTGCCCGGCCACTTTGCAGGTGAACGCTGAGACAGTGCGGTATTCCATCTGCATGTCTAAGCTCCGTGTGAAGCCTGGTGACGTGGCCGTTCACGGTGAGGCCGTGGTGTGCGTCACCCCCAGAGAGAACAGCAAAAGCTCCATGTACTATGTGCTGCAGTTCCTGAAAGAGGATCTCCCCAAGGTGAGACAAAAGTCCTTTCTTGGCCCCTCCCCCAGCGTATGCCCAGAGATTTGTAAAGGGAGAGGTGGCATTTACCTCTCCCCCAAATACCCAGCTGTCTGGCAACCTGAGGACTGAAGGTCCTGCAGAGACTGAAGGTGGTGCCTGTTTCTTCTTTTCTGCCACGTCCCTCTGGGATCAGGTTTTTCCCATCTTAGCACTGCCATGCTGACTCTGCTTGTTAGATTCCTGTCTGTTCTGTCGTAAAACTGATGGAGTATATATGGCATGGTCCCCTGATCTTCCGTTTTCTGCATAACCCCTAACAGCACACAGGCACTTTTCGGTTTGGTGAGACCTGAGAAACGGGGATGGTCAAGGTGCCAACCCAGTTCTCACAGCCTGTGTGCTTTCTGAGGGTAACCGGGGCCATGGGCACCGCAGGGCCTTGAGCCTTCCGTGTCTCCGAGTGCAGGTGGTGGTACAGGGCATCCCAGAGGTTTCCAGAGCTGTCATCCACATCGACGAGCAGAGTGGAAAGGAAAAGTACAAACTCCTGGTGGAGGGCGATAACCTGCGGGCAGTCATGGCCACTCACGGTGTGAAGGGCACCCGCACTACCTCCAACAACACCTACGAGGTACAGCTCCTGCCCAGGGTCACCTCCCAGTTGTCCCCGCACACCCCTCTGACCCTGCCGCTTGCCCTGGACCTACCACTAAAGATTGCCCAGCAGTCTGTTTCTGGTAGAGGGCCCGGAGTTTGCCGTTTAGCTTCCGGGCAGAGGAGAACTGAGGGAGAACTTGGGACGGCTTGCCAGAAGAGGCTGCTTGCACTCATCCTGGCTCTCTGTAGGTGGAGAAAACCCTGGGCATCGAAGCTGCCCGGACAACTATCATCAACGAAATCCAGTACACGATGGTCAACCACGGAATGAGCATCGACAGGAGGCACGTGATGCTGCTATCTGACCTGATGACCTACAAGGTTCGTGGGAGGGATGTGGCGTGCCGAATGTCTCACACACGGCTGTGATGACACCATTGAAAGAAAATCAGATGTTACCATCACCCAAAAGCCAAAGTATGCGGTCAGGCTGGGTGTTCTGGTTAACTTCCAGGATGAAATGTGCCACCTCATGGAATGAGGTGGGATGTGATTTCTGTCCTTATTAGAAATGTCCTCCTAAAGCAAAACTGGCCATTGCCGAAAGCCTAGGGATTTCCATGGAAAACCAAGGTGTTTATTTCCCTTTGAACCCATTCATCACACTTCTGTAGCCATTTCCAGGTAAATGATAAGTTAATGTGTTCTGAAGGGGAGGTTAGATGGGAATGAGATTGGTTATTTTGTTTTCCTCTTTTCCCACAAATCATATTCCCCGGAGTAGTGCCATAAGATTTTCAGGATGCCTCCGCATAGAACGAGGTGGGGAAATGACCCGTTTCCTCCACCCTGTGGTAAAGGCTCTCGTTTTTAAGTCTTCCCTTCCTGTGCTGTTCTCTATGCACGTATGTGTTACGTAGTTGCAGTGAGTAGTGGACATACCGTTTTTATCCTGTTTTATTTGTTGTAAGTACCTTCCACATTGTTAAGTAGTTTTTGTAAATATCCTTTTTAAACGATGATGCGGTATTCACTTGAATGAAGGCACCTAAATTTACTTAACTCTTTCCCTACTTTGAAACTCTCAAATTGGGGCGCCTGGGTGGCGCAGTCGGTTAAGCGTCCGACTTCAGCCAGGTCACGATCTCACAGTCCGTGAGTTCGAGCCCCACGTCGGGCTCTGAGCTGATGGCTCAGAGCCTGGAGCCTGTTTCCGATTCTGTGTCTCCCTCTCTCTCTGCCCCTCGCCCGTTCATGCTCTGTCTCTCTCTGTCCCAAAAAATAAATAAACGTT